TACCATGCTTCCAAGACACACGCTCCCCTCAATGACCTTTCCTCCTCAGTTGGTCCCATTTTCCTGAATCAAACATGAGCAAATCCCTTTTCGAGCATGTCCGGACAAGTCGTCAATCCCATGCATCTTCGATGTCTTCGTAAAGTGACTTGCAAGCAAACATCGGCTTCCTGGAAAATCAAGAGCTTGGGTGTTTACTGCTTTACACACGACTTCGACACACATTCTCGTGCAGACCATGAAGCTCTCGATTCCATCGACTGCATCCATTCCCGGGCCGTTACGGTTGCACGGGTTGCGTGCTCCTTGAAACCACGGGTATCCGAGACGAGAAAGCATCAAACAGCGTCTAAACCTCAGGGCCGGTGCCGAAGCAAGACCGGCCGGAAAGTTGGCTGGAGGTTCCCATACGATCAACAAATTATTGACCTATACCGTCCTTTTCTATCCCTGACTGCGCGTTTCTCCCTGCCATGACTGATACGAATCTTCCCAAATCATCGAAGAGGCGGACCCTCAACGACAGCAAGTACACAAGACGGTGGGCGCATACTAGTCATGACTGAAAAGGAATAAAACGCATTGAGTGGGCTCCTTTGGAATGACTCAAGCCCCCTCTATGATCCCGATATCAAAACAAGACATTGGCTTTTGTTCAAAATGTTTTCCGCCGATGTTCTCTTGTAAAGGGTGTTTTGGGAACCGTGTCTCAAACCTGCACAAGAGAGGGGGCTTTTGCACGGGCCGGAAGTTTCTCTAGTCTCTTAAAGCTAAGATCCAGCAAACGCTGAGAAAAATAAGGGAAAATGAGGTCATCAGATCGATCCTTCAGCTATGGAATCTCGAGGATCAAGCTCAATACTCGGCTTCTATACATTGTAGAGAGCGGACTATCAGTATTTCCGTCTCCGACAAAATGGGTCCAAGTGGGTCTTCCCTGGGTGGTTACATCAATATGAACTATCATTCTAAATGACTGTCCCACAACGTTGCATTATGTAGACACCAAACCATCGCAGGGCTTCTTTATATCAGAAGGCCTCAGAAGGCCCTACGCTTTACCGCCTGGGGGAACCCTTCGAGCATCGTGGCGCCCTGATCTTCTACATTTATATTCCTGCGGCCATATTTTTTGATAATATTGTTCCTTTAGCGAAAGCTATATACTACGAGGAGAGCCAAATGATTCAGTGGATATGGAAAGGAAAGATAAACAGCGGAAGATCCTCAGACCAAGACAAGTCAGCTCGTGGTATCAAACTTGACAGCCTCGTCGACGCTCAGCCCCGCCTAGTTCGGCCGCCCAATCATTCCCCGACAGGGTCTCGTTCAGAACTCCGCAGGAGATAATATCTCAGCTTCGAAAATGCGGAAGAAGTCTTTCACTTCCTCGGCGCATGTCGAGACTTTGGAGCTAACTTACCGCATCCCCTCACTCACCGGGCTTGGAAGACACAGGGAGTCTCGGCCCATATATGTCTTGGATGAGATTCATGGGCGTGAGTGGGTATTTATTACCACGTTCTCTATGTCTCACCCCCCAAAATCTCAAGTCTGGTGTGCGCAGCAGGTTTTACGATCTACATTCCATGGGACACATAAAGCAAAAACATCATCTTTTAATCCTCACCCCCGGCTTCCCCGGCCTGGGTGAGTGATTACCTGCGTTTCGCCTCTCGCGTCTTTCCTATCCTAACTCTAGACTGGCGGTCCGCCCTGTATCGCCTCGGTCTCACGGCCAAGGCGTGCTAACTAGACCCTGTCCGTTGACGATAGCTTAGGCTCCATATTGATCGAGGTAGACCTCTGTTGTCTTCTACCGATCTGTTCGCCGCGGTTCTTATTGTTTTAGCCCAAATTTCTCAATGAGTGTCTCCGCGGCAGTCTCGGCGACCATGTATGCCGTGCTCTGCGTCATACAGCTGCGTGTAACTTGTCAATACGATACACCTTCTTACTTTGTTTTCCCCCGGCCGGTTCGGTGGGGAAAGGGGTGAGTGAGTGAACATACCATGGAGTGGTGGGACAGACGCTAAGGTCAGCCACGTAGAGGTTTTCGACTCCGAAGATCTGAAAGTCAGGCCCCACGCAGGCGAGCTTGTTGGTCTCGGGCTTGCCCATCATCGCTGTCCCAGTGGCGTGGTACTGCGGGCCTGAGACTGCCCTCAGCCATGTCTGGACGAAAACGCGAGCGGATATTACGTCAATAAATGGTGGCCGATGCTACAAACCACAAAGGAAAAGCAAAACAAGAGAGAGAGAGAGAAGAAAGTCGGATCCAACACGGGGTGGGACGGAACGGCTTACCTCAATATCCTGGTCCGTCTTGCTCGCGGGGCCGTTTATGTAGCCTTCAAAATACTCCGAATTGGAATCCCCTTCGATGAACTCCATGACCTTGCGCGTGTTGTTTATGTAGGTCCGCAGATCGTAAGGGTGGGAGAGGGCATTGAAGTCGAAATGCGGAGGATCGGCCGGGTTCGCGGATCGCAATTTCACCTCCCCCCGGGATTGAGGGTTCATTAGGCAGTTGACGTAAACGTGATAGTAACAGACGTCTTCCGGGAAGACTCTCCCTCGAGAGAAGAGAGGAGCTGCCTGGCGCGGATCTGTTAGCCACCATAGACAGATAGATAGATTTTTGTCAAACCAGAAAGGAAGGAGGTGAGAGAGATGTGTATTGTTTTAGACGTGTCCTTACCATGCCGAGTGACAGCTGAGGGACCGTTTTTCCCTTGAGAAAGTCCTGCATTGACGGGTCCAGCAGTTTGAATTCCTCTGTTTCGAGATTCTCGTCCACTTTGAGGAAACAGAAGGGCAGACAGGACCAGGGACCGGCCTTGTCCGGCTCGCCGTGCCGCACCACATCTCTGTCCAATAACTTCTTCGATAAGCGAGTTTCGATCAGGCACTGGATGTGGTCCTGGAGATTCTTGCCGACACCTTCAAGGTCGTGGACGACTTCTATCCCAAGGGGGACCAAGTCGGCCTTCGGGCCTACCCCCGAGAGAAGAAGTAGTTTGGGTGTGTCAAGAGCACCGGCACACAGAATCGTGGCTTTAGTCCCGCGAGCTATTTTGTAGAGATCAGTATCGCGACGTGGCTTCCTGATAAACGAGCCGTACCGCTGCGACCGTCTGCCAGCTCAACCCCAACAGCGGTCCTGCCAGCAAACAGTATCCGAGTGACAAAAGCATTAGTCCACACCATCAGGTTAGGTGGCCGATTCTCCAGAAACGCCGAGGCCGCAGTTGCGCGAAGGCCATGAGAAACAGTGCTGGGTGACATCCCTATTCCGATCGGATTCCCACTGTTCTGATCCGGATTGATTGGGTACTTTCACAACGGTTAGCGCGATTAACGTGTTGCCAAAGCAATGTGTGTACATACTCCATGGGCTTGAGCAATCTCAAAGACCTTCCACACACCAGACTCCCATACCGATGGAAGACTGACATCAAGTGGACCCTTACTGCCATGATTTTCCGGCAACGTATGAGCGTATTTTCTAAAGTCTGCCGGAGTATCGTCATGGAATCGCTCAATCTTTGAAAATGTCAATATGAAATAGATTTCAGAATTGCGGGTAATGTGTATTACCCGCCTGAATCTCTCTTTGGTCTCTGGCCATCTCCATTTCGGCGACCCCGTCACGTCTGCCCAGAAATCGTATTCGTCGGATGGACCGACATAGTACACCATCGCGTTTGTCATCGTTGAACCACCCAGGCCCTTCCCTCTCGGATAGGCCACCCTTCTGCCGTTGACGTTCTTCTGTACATGCGAATATCTGGTCCATCCCAGGCTCGGATCAGCGAGATTGACAAACTTTCGCGCAGTGTCGCGGAGGTCGGGATCGTCGAGGGAATCTCCAGCCTCAACGAGAAGAACAGATGGTGCTGGGGGTGTACGAGAGAGTCTAGAGGCCAGGAGACAACCTGCAGCTCCCGCTATTGCATCAGTTAGACCGATGGTTCTTTGTGGGCGGTTGAACATCCAACGTACCCCCAACCACAATGAAATCAAACTGATTGGACATTGAGCCAGATTTAGCCGGAAATCGGTCGACGTGCTTGTTGTTTGATTTTCAAATGTGAAGAAGGACATTGTCAAGTCACTCTCCGCCGAATGGGCTTATGTTTCTTTTTGGGCTCAGTGAGGCGGGATTGATCCCCACTTGAAGCAGATATTGAGATACTCATTTTGGCAAATGTACCTACCAAACCCGGGTGTCTTCGGTGCTGACGAATGCCGGTGAAGGACTCAGAATCGAGATAGACAAGAATGTACATACTGCCTGTGATGCGCTAGATAGTCTGGGTAACCGGATATGGTCTTCAACGTAAGATCCTTTACGTGGCCGGCCCCGAGTCAGCATCTTAAGCAGCTTCAACAGCTTTGGAGCATGCAGGAGAAATGAGGAACTGTCGGGCCGGCGAAGCCCGAAAGGTGCGTCAGGTCGGCCCGGGAGAGAAAAGTCCCTGAAAGGGTTCTTGCTACAATAGTCACGTCGAAATAAGGCCAAGAACCCTGCTTCTTATCATTGTAGAGAACGAAGGTTGGATGGATGAACGAGAGTCAAAAGGGCGGGTGGGAGACGGGCAGCCTTTAAAAGCGGCAAGAAGGTCGAATATTTAGGGGAGTGGAAGTTGACTTGGTCAAGGGATAGCCAAGACGGTGGGTAGATGGATATGTTGAATAACTACCATATAGAGTATGACGTCCTGTCTCCTTAATCCTCAAAGGCCAGTCCTACCCCGGGTGAAGTCTATGTTACTCTAAAAACAACAAACCTTTTGCATGAGCAATACAAGAAGGAATCAAAAGTATGAAAAGAGGCAATCCGGTAGAGGACATCCAACCAAAAACCCTACAAGCGGGAAAGGGAGACATTCAACCAAATGCAATACCACGTCCGTCCACATTCTCCGCCAAGATCCAAGTCATAGCCTAATCTGGAGAAGTTAGGAGAAACCCCTCTCGATCGTGCCCACGATGCTTTACTGCTGTTCGCCGTGATGGCTCGGCCGGTTGTCCTCGTCGTCAAGATAGACCAACTGGGTGTAGGGCTGTGGAGTATTTGAGTGGAGCCCGCTACCAACGTAGAGGAGGATGGAGGATCCAGGTGACAAAGACCCGATGTGCTGGAGGCAGGGACTGTGCTCCCTCACTTGCAGAGGTGCATCCGAGATATGTGATCCAGATCCTGAACACTCGTCCATTCGCTGTCCCATTTTAACGCTTGTCCACGGCTCACTCATGTTGCCTTGAAGATTTGCAGGTTTGTCGGATGGATCTTCGTGTGTCGGTGGCATTCCTGCTTCCTCACGTTAGCGATCTCCGGCAATGTGCCCACAAGAGATTCCCGCTCACTCAGAGGTTGGTCGTGCTCCTGTGTGCCTTGCGGACTGGAAGCAGAGACGGTCGAACCTTCTGCTCCTGTTTTTGGGGATGGACCGGAAGCTGCCGAGACACGAGTAGACGGTGTAGAAGAAGACTGAGGTGAGGCTGCATTCGGAACTTCTTTGGATGAAGCAAGCTTTCTATGATCATTTGACAGGCCGGAGCCATCAGAATTCCGAATCGAAGACATTCTGTAGCTAGGTGTGACAAGGATATTCAGGATCTTCAGTGACCTGACTGTAAAGATATATAATGCCTGGCTCATCACCTTTCAGCAGCCATGCTGCTCCATCATTGGACTGGACCGGAGGGCGCGGCCATGCTCAACGCAGTATTCTCCTCTTCAACCTGACTTGCTGACTCTTGGAAGGATACCATGATAAGCCCCTAGACACTGCCATATTTCAGGCTTCAAGAGGCTTAGAAGTTGCAGTGTCTTTGGTCGACGCATGAGGCACTTAAGTAGGAGTGGTTGCATCGACATGGAAGCAGGAAAAGCCGGTATGAATCACGGATCAGGCGGTTTGCTGAGCCTCTGTTCTTGGTCTGCCACCACAGGAGTGAGCAGGACGACAGGAAAGGGTGCCTGAAATGATCAACACGACAGTGCCCCCAGTTTCTGCAACAGCATTCACAGGGCAAGGAGCCAGTGGTTGCCTTTTCGTCGGAGTTGGAGACGAAGGGAAAGTCCCCTACCTTGACGCGATGCGTAGCGAGGCAGATTCGCAGGCTCTGGGTCGGCTCGATTCTTGTCAATCAGCGGTTTGAGACAAGGTCCGCAGTAGGGAAACATGAACAAGCAGCCAATAACCATCCTGATGCCGTTCTCTCGGGTGGATGTATTTTCTCAAAGTGAAGCTGGGGAGATGCTGAAGAGGGCCGGATTGGTGTTTATCCGCAGACTGCCATGCCGAGAAAAACGGGAGCAAAGGATGGACCAGGGAGCGTCTTCGCTTCGCCTGCTCCTGCGCTGACCTTTGCATCTGCACCTACGCAGCCTCTTCGTACCTTTCCGCATCATTTTCAGTTGCTTCACTGCAATTTCATCTTTGCATCACCTCACCGCCGCAGGTTTGATCACCCGGACCACCATCGCTCAGTCTGTCAGCAAACCTTTGCACCGAGTACAGCTCCACACAGCCCTCTCGTCGCCGCCTGACCTCTCTGCCTACGCCACTTCCGAGAAGGCTTGCTCTGTTGCTTTGCGGCCCAACGTTGATGTCCGCCACGTCGTGTACAATCACTATCACCCGCTGTCTTGTTGTCGCTCCCGTCTGAACCTCTACTTACCTCGTGGGCTGTTCACCTCCTTTTCGGTTGTCGGCCAGTCAAGATCTCACCCATGACTTCACCTGATCGCGACAGGCTGCGTGTCCTGCCGCACGCATTGCTGCCCAACAAGACATTTAGCTTTCCTGGTCTCTGACGGAAGATGAAGGCTCTGAAGGAGAAGGAGAACCACGCCAGAGCAAATCCTCACCAAGCTTTTGCAAGCATGCTGTGGTACAACCTCGCGTGGAAAAAAAAATTGCGCTCCAGTCATTGCGCTGTGACGCCTGGTGCTTCCTGCCTTGTCCTTGCAGCTCTATCAAGCTCCATTCCTGTTAGAATGTAAGTTCAGCCAGAGGAGGTCGTCGGAAGTCAACCGTCCACGATGATTGGTACGGTTACTCGATATTTTTCCTCCCTCGCCATGTCGCCCAAGAAAACCGAAGAGACCAGTGCAAAAAACAGAGCCGACCTATCTCAAGGGAGAATGGGATTCATATCATATTTCAAGCAAGATGATGTTCTACACTACGGCGAGACGGGTCTTGTGCCACGCGAAGCAAGCCAGCTACTGCGCGGTTATCAAGGCAAACGCTCATTTCTCTCCATTGGCGTATTATCCCATCCGGCCACCCACTCAGTTCCGAGATGTGGATATGCGAGTTTCACCAATGATGTTTGGATCTCCCAGGTAAGCTGCTTGCTGCTCAAGGACTCCCCTATGGGCCAATGCTGTCCATACGGCACCACGGAAGTGCCCTTGGCAAGAGAGGATTCCGTGGGGTGATATCACAGGTCATTTCTGTAGTGCCCTTGTTTAGTTCGTGCATGCTGGACCAGGAATCGACTTCCGCAGAAGATATCCAAAGCTTTTTCAAGTTTCACATCTTCTCGCTGTTGAATCGTCTGAGTTCTGGCAGTCTAGCCCACTTTGGTTGCGTTCCCTCTTCCTTCACATTCACCGCCTCTTTGAAACCAATTTCAAGCATCCTATTAGTGGCCTTGGTGGTTCTGACACGCTGCCTGCACTGTCCGACGTTGACTTTGTTCTAACTATGTTCTCCGGAGGACGGTTCGATGCAGACCTGCTCTCTCCTCCTGCATTCCAGAGTCGACCATCACAAGATGCCTTCGATGCTGCAATTTGCCCGGGACCCAATTCGAACCTGCTCGATCCCTTCATCGATTTCCTTCAGCTCTTCCCCGGGCCAATCCTGAGTTGAACAATTGAGCAGCGATCAAGCGAGACTCGTCACATTGGAAAGTCCGCAAGAGAGGGGTTTTGGAAGTGACAATACGGGAAAAATTGACACATATCCATGTGGCACAGTTCACCGCAATGCTGAGTCACAGGAGGACCGGTCAATTGCTCATCGTAGTCGACGAGGCCGACGTCCGTCGACTTGTGGACAGTTTCAACGAAAAGCTGGACAGAGGATTGTGACCTAATTGCGCGATTACGCTACCCTCGGTCGGTGCAAAAGGTTGCTGTCGGTTCGCCATCGTCTGCCACGGAGAGGCCATCGCAGTCCAGTCAACGATCTTCGAGTTCTCGTACAGCGATACCACGAGCCTAGAACCTAAATGCTTCGTCTTTGAAAGCACGGAGAGGCCTCTCACTACCGTTTTTCTCATCAGCGGCCATTTGCGAGTAGCCTTGTGCGAGCAGTCGTCTTAGACGACGAGATTCAAACGAGAGCACAGCTAAGCTAACATGGACAGGACTCAGACAGGCCCAAGTACAATCCGACTAGTTATACTATTTGGAACCGCGGCAATATCATGGCCATAATCCCCTGGGGCTATTCCTTCACCCTAGGCCCATATTGCAAGACATGGAGCTTCTAGGCTCGGGAATTGCGAAGTTCGAGAGACAAACAACTTTTCAGCTCGGATTCTCATTTAAACAAACAACACATGGTTTCATGCTTGGTTCGCTAAACAGGATAACAACATGAGACTGGTTCGAACAAACGACGTGATAATATAACCCTGCATTTCCTGGGTATGTTGCAATTTTTCTTCCTTCTTCCCTTCCTGGTAGCATGGCCAGCCTTGCATCCAGGTCAAATTCCCTCCCCTCGCCCAATTTCCGCGGGTCCACCCTTGGCTTCGCTGCGCCCTCCTAATGTGCTCGGGCGGTGCGGTTGTATGCTCCGTACCCGAGTCTTAGTTGATGGGGATGCGATTAAAATGCGCAATGCTCCCTGACAAAAAAGCAGAAGTCGGTCAGTCCGAAAATACTAGTCTTTTGGGACAATCGACAATCTTCGGGAGGTTGATACTCACGGCCTCTGCTCTTGTCGGCGATGTTGGCGAGGCTCTTGACGTAGTCGACAAACCATGGCTGTGATTCACAAGCCTGTTTCGGTCGGTCAGCTTTGGAGGAAAATTATCGTGAACGTCAATATCTTCATTCCCCACCCAGCACTCTCCCCCCAGGCGGGGGAATGGGAGGAAAATTTCACTCATTGAAACAAGAAAAAGAATGGAAAAGCTTACGCCCGTAAACCATTCCGTCCCCTTGGTCCAGCTGTGCTGGATCCTGATGTGTGCCGGGTCCGTGGGATCCTGGGAGATCTCGCAGAACAGGCACTCGGGCATGGCGCGCATCTTGTGCACCACGGGCGTCACGAGCTTGACATACTCGTCCAGCTTCTCTGGGAAGATGTAGATGTCGGTGACCATGAGGGAGCCGTCCGGCCCGGTGGAGGAGATGAAGTTGTTGATGGGGACGAGGTTGCGGTGTTCTGGTATCGAGGTGGAAGCCATGTTGTATGTGTGTGTGTTTTGCGAGCAAGCGACGGAATTCAAAAGGAGAAGAGGTTACAATTAAGCAAGAACTGATCCCACGACGGACATATGGGTCGGGCTCAGGGTGTTCCACACGCGAGAGGGAGATGTTTGCAAAGAGCACGACAGTCCACGCAAGGTGCCGCTGCGAAGAGCTGGCAATATATATATATTACAACAGAACAGCACATGGAAGGACTCAGTTCGCCATGCAGCACGCGGGCATGTTGCTCAGCCCATCGAGGAGGCTGTCGCATCGAGCGAGCCATGGTCCACCCGCGCACCGCTCACTCTAGTAATTGTATCAGCCTGACAACGGGAAACATGGGCCATTCAGAGTCTAAAGAAAGCGAGTGCGCTGGACGCGTAATCGAATGCCGTTCAGCCCTGAACAATAACTCTCCTTCTCTGTTCTCTTTGTTCATATGCAATGGCAATGACAGCGGGACAGCGAAGGAACCACTGCTAGTATTTGCGGCTGAATCAAATGTGGCGTTCTGGAAAAATGAAGCTGAGAACTTTGTGTTCTCAAAAACGGCCAAGGCACAGACCAGCCTCGTGTCTCGTGTCTGAAAAGGGCAAGTGTTCGAGGTTCGTGTGTCATTGAGCGAGTAAGTGATGGAGGAGGCCATATACTAACCAGTGTCCTGCTGGTGCTTGTGGTGCAGGTGCCCGTGCTGAAAAGGACCCTCCCTTTGTGGGAAGTCCTACGGGGAAGGAAGCACGAGGTCGATCGAGATGTGTTCCGTGTAGCTAACGGACCAACTAACTAACTAGGGAGGAGGAGATTAGAGGGCCGAGGCGGGGAAGCATTAAGACCAGATGAAGAACAAGGGAAGAAGTATGTACGGACAACGTACGTATGTAACGGTACGGTGCATATGTTATAGTCCAGATTCCCTTTCGCTTGGAGAAGAGAAGAGAGAAAAAAAAAAGGGCTCGATATTGTTTTGCCCCGGCTCAAGGAGGCGGCGACTGGACACCGACCGAAAACTCCAATTCCTCGGGAGGGGAACCTCCGGGCATTGCAGTGTAGCTACGGCAAGGTACGGGTATTTTGTCGAAGTCAGGTCAAAGTTGGAGACACGGACCCGTTGTCGTCGGTCAATGGGGGAGGGGAGGCACGGAGTTACTTGTATTCTATCTGATATAAGCGGACATCAGGAAGGGGGTTGAGTATTATCTTGACCAACGAGACGGCTTGACACACCAGAGCCAGAGGCCTCAGCGATCCATTTGGCTCGGGGACATCGACATCGACATTGATATCGAAGAACTAAAGAGCCATCTATTACTTCCGGACATACACACCGACCGAGCTGAGAACCTCACTCCCTCCCCCTCACAGAAGATGCCGTCCACCATCATCCCGGCGTCGCGCAACGCCTCAGCCTCCAGCAGACAAGCCAGCGGCACCTTCACGGGGACAGTGTGGATGGACCCGATCTACATCGACGCGGGGCCCAACATCAACATCAACCACGTCATGTTCACGCCCGGGGCGCGCACGTACTGGCACACGCACGAGAAGGGCCAGCTTCTGCGTGTGCTGGCGGGCTCGGGCTGGGTGTGCGACAAGGGCGGCGAACCCAGACGTCTGAACGTCGGCGACACGGTCTGGTGCGACCCCGGGACAACCCACTGGCACGGTGGCGATGATGGGAGTTTCATGCTCCATCTCGCCGTCAGCCACGGCAAGACGGTCTGGCACGACGAGGTCACGCAGGAAGAGTATCAGGCCAAGAAGAAGTGAATGTGGATGTGAATCCCGATCCGGCAGGCTGGACCGAGGTGATGTTCTATACAAGAGAGGGAGAGCAATTGAGGAAGGAAAGGGAGAAGGAGGAGAACCTAGCCACGCTCAGCGGCCGATCCCAGGGTAGACAAGGCCGATCCCAGGGTAGACAAGGTAGACGGATACAGATACAGACCACGCAAAACAATGTCCAGCCTCATCGTCGATTCCGACTAGCTCATTCTAAAGCCTCCTCTTTATCAGCGGCACCTCTAGGCCTCTTAGCTCTATCGAACCGTTAGTATATGTATGCCCAGAAACGCTGCAAAATGCGGAGCGTCATATCCAAGCCCTGACAAAAGAACCGCCCAGAGGTTCGTTGTGAGGACGTCACGAATAGCTGAGGCTCCCGACAACTATAAAGAAACCCCCCCTCCAAAGTGCTAATCGGTGTAAAAGTGAAAAATCGCCCGTCGACCACTTTTACTCTAGTCCTTGAATGCTTTTGACCAGGTCCGTGGACGGCCTCCCAGATCTCCTCCAAATCGTCTTGCCATCACCTGGATCCTGCATGTCCAGTGCCGGCAAGATCTCCCTCAGCAGATCGTTGACATCCAACCCTCTCTCTCGTGCAACCTGCCACTGTTTGGGATACCCTAGGCTGACCTCCTCGAACCTCACTCCATCTCTCCAATCCGTCCTGCGAACGTGCAGATGCCCTGTAACCACCACTTTCGCGTTGAATCGCGTATGCCAGTCCTCGGTCTTCTTGGTTCCACACCATAAGCTGAAGCGAGGGATCATGGGAATTGTAATTGTATCTTGGCGCAACGGCCAGTGGTTGACCAGCACCAGGGGGATTCCTCTTCGGGAGGTGGCTTCGAGCCGCTCTTCGGCCTTGGAAACGAGCTCCTGGCACCACAGATCCCGCGACTCGTACGGGTCAGGGTGCAGCAGTGCCTCGTCCGTGGCAACAATGTTATCTTCCATCGCCCAGTCCAAGGCGTCCTCTCTCGACACATCATCGGGCCTGAAGCTGTAGTCGTAGAGTGTAAACAGCGGACAGATGATGCAAGGTCCACCTTCGCCTTCCCACTTCACGTACTCGTCCTCTGGGGTGATGACCCCGTACTCGTTAGCGACCCGGAGGCATTCCTGATACTTGAAATCTCCTCGTAGTTCCTCATCGAGGTCGTCGTCTTCATGCCCCTCAGCATGGCTACGATGCCCTGGTAGCGTATACAGCTCGTGATTGCCAGGCACCCAAAAGACCTGCTTGAAGAGCTTGGTGGTAATTTTGAAGGCTTCATGGAGGTGCTCGATCTTCTCTCCAACGTCGCCGCAGATGATCAGGCTGTCGTCCAAATGAGGTTTCAGCTCGTACAGAGCCTCGCGGTTGTGCTTGTAGCTGAGATGGAGGTCTGAAATGGCATAGAGTTTCATTGTGACAGTTGGCAAGGGGCCAGCTCCCGTTGCCTAAAGAGCTGGGTCAACCGCGAGCTTATCGGCCAGCCCCCAACTTGGGATCACAACTCGGGTCTTTCCAAGCGGATTGACAAAATGGTTGGGGTAAGCCAAACACCAAATGACGGCGGCGAGCACCAGGAGGCCACGAGGAGTACAAGAAAGTTGGTCGGCAATGCGACTCATCGGGAGCCTTGCAGGGCTGTCATCACGCGCAAGGTTGAGTCCAACCCCTTTGGCCTACTCGCGTGGAGACTGTTGGATGTAGATGGAGGGAGGTGCGGGCGGAATGGGTGATGGTCGTTCTGACGGGCTTTTGGAGAGTCTCTGTGCAGAGTGACAGGGTACCGAGTACAGACACCCCAGAGTAATAAGGCTGAAGCCTGGATTCGGATTCGGTGAAGGAGAAAAAGGCAGGCGTCGACTGTGAATTCACTCCTGGGAAGACCGATGCTAGCGTGTCTGGTCCACCAAGCACAAATCCCAGCACCTCGCTACCCGGCGGGAGGGGAATCTTGGCTTCGGTGACATCGTTTCCGGAACAAGATTATTCCGGTCGCGCCGTCAACGAGCATCTGCCCGCCCTGTCGACTCCATGCAAGATCAAGTCTCCATTTGAGGTGAGTCGAGTCTGCTGCTCGTCGCGTGGTCTTCTGGAAACTCAGCCAAACGGATAGAACGACTCCCTTACATGGAGCAGGAAGTGCTTGACAACCTGTGTGATCAGAACTACGAGGTCCCGTTCACTAGCAGTGTGAAGAAACAGCAAGTAGTCTTCATGTAAAACACCAAAACCGTATTCTATATGCAATTTTCTCAACACGGATTCAATCACCATCTAATCCTGGCATCGCACTGGGCAAAAACCCAACGAGCCAATGTCCACATTCATCAAAGAAGTGGCCACAATCAGCGTTGTTCCAGAAAAGAAGTCAAAAGGCCATGCGAGAAAGTGGTCCTTGACACCAACACCGGCGCGTGCCTAGACTCCTTCAGAAGCGCCGGTACATAGCTCGCTCCACACGTAGAGTCCGCCGTTTTCAAAAAGCAGACTATGTACTGGTAAAACCCAACCCAATCCAGTCCAATCCAGTCCAATCCAGTCCAGTCCGTCCCGGGCATTCCAGCCCGAGCTTTCGCCGACTCAAAATCTGATTCTTCGGTTTATCCAGAAAGCCCGTGGTATCATTCGAGGTACGTTAAATGCATTTTCGTAAATCATAACTTCAGGTGTCTGGTGCTTGATATTGTTCTGTCTTGTGCAGTGATGTAAAAACCACCCCCCTTCAGCACGCGCTACCGAACCCAGTCCTCGTCTTCTCTTTCATCGTTCAAACTCAGTTCGGGATTGGTCATGTCTGGCGCGGCCGACCACGCTGGATCCTCTGCCATGTACGACGGTGGCATAGCAGGTCTAGGCTGCTCCATTGGGATATTCGATACTCCGTCAGGGTGTGCATACCTTTGTGCCTCACTTATAGTGTATGGATGCTCGCCATTGCCCGTGCTTCCTGGCGTAGAGATACTAGGTGTCATGCCTCTACTCACACTCGATAACCGGGACGGAGTTTGTGAATCTTGCGGATTCATCTGCATCTGTGCCAATTGATGCTGCAATTGCATTCTTTTCGTCTCTGCTTCGGCTTGCTTCAGATAATCGTCGATGTCGAGACTTCCGAGATTGTCATTGGCTAGCATGTTTGCCTGGGGCGTCCCGAAATAAGACGAGGCTGAACTCAACCTGAATCGATCGGACGCGTCGTCTCCGCCGGCACTGCTGAAATCGTTGAACGCTTCCAAACTAGTCTGTCGATCATTACCCACGGCCCGGTCGTTGCCCCATTGGTTGGCATTGGACGGAGGGGACTGGTCCTCGACCTCTGAAGGCTCTTCGCTCGAGGAAGTGATTCCCACTTTATTGATTTGGCTCGTCAACTCAGAAGCCTGGAAAGCAACTTGCTGAGACAACATATACGGCGAGTTGTCCTTGTTCAAACTGTACAGACTATTATGACCGTCTAGATTGAGACTGGTCCAATCAGCCGATGAGCCATCGTTGAGCCTTGCCCACGCTGGAGGCTCGTACTCATGAGCTTGTTCATAGGTCATGAACCAGGTCTCCGGGAAACGTTCTGGAAGTGTTAGGTCTTGCAAGCTTGGGTTTTGGCTGTTTTGTAGACTGTTCGACTGCGTCGGCGGGGTGTCTGTGCCAAAGGGAGAGTACGCATAAGCGCGTGGATCGAATTGAGGTATGTTGAAATCCTGTATCGAGGACTTTGCTCCTAGCCTTGCTGGTCCAAGCACCGGCGAATTGTGTTCTGACTTGACCTTCCGTTCCACAATTTGCATGGCCTCCGTTATCGAGTTATGCAGGGGCGACTCATGGAAGGGTTTCGCAAACTTGGTCAGCGGAAGGCTGTCGGTAGAGCGTTGAGCAATCTCCCTATGGCCATGGAGTGAGTTTGATCGCGAAGGAATCTTATAAGGGTTTCCGAGCTGATTATGAGCATCATTGAACTTGTGGACTGGCTTGTGATGACCATTTGTGAAAATCGTCGTCTTAGGGTCATGGGAGTTCATGTTGGGGCGATGTTTAGCATGGTCCTTTGACTGATGGAGTTGTGAGATGTCTTCCGGCACCGGATCGAGGTGTTCTTTCTTGAGAGCGCAGGTACAGCGAGAACCATGTTGGCAGCAGCAGTTATGATCTAGGGACCGCATCAGCGCCATGATCTCTTTCTTTTCTAGACTTCCACATACCAGGTTTTCCCTCCTGCTTCTCATGGGGACAGTTTTCCTTTGAATGAGACTTATCATGGCACTCGCATTTCACATGTTGAGAGCGCGACTTCCGCAAGCCTCGGCAGTGTTGGCATTGGGACACAGGTCGACCCTTCTTGTTGACGTGCACTAGAGGTCGGTCTTGGAGAGAAAAAAACAGAGGATTAGTTGCGAGTTCGATAACCTTGCCACAAGTTTGCGAAGATGCCCAACAAAACTCACCTTGATGGTGGCAAGAACTAACACGATGGCCCCTCACACAGGCCTCGCAGGCGAACTTCTCCCCGTTGATGAGCATTTCGACTGCGCAGGCGACCCGGAAACTCGATCGCTTTGGTCGCAGAGGCGAGCTTGCCTCCCTTAGAGAATAGGAGCAGGAGTAGGTTGGGACCGGGGCTCTCGGGTGGAGGACAATTTCTCGAGGCGGCGGGGCAGGCGGACTAGTCGTCGACCACGTCGGATGCTGGGGTATAGGAAAGGCTGGAGGGCGCGCCCTCAACGGTGTATGACAAAGAATCAATCTTAGAAATATCCAACGCCAGATGATGCCAGGGTGGACGTTGTCGGCAAGACTATGGATGGGTGCGGAAGGGTTCCTGGGATAGGATCCGAAAGAACTTCGAGAAAGAACCGCCTTACGCCGGGAAGGGTGGACAGGGAAAAAGGAAAGATTGGCCGGTGAGCAGGGGAGGCTAGTATGGGTCGGGATCGGCCATGGTTCGAGGTTGTTGGAGTGTTCAGCAAAGGTGAATGCTGTCTTGCTGATGGCTGATGAGGAGGGTATCTGTAGAAGAAAATCAGAAGCCGGTGAAGATTGAGTGTCTGGTGAAGAGGATGAGCGGAAGGAAGACAAAATTCGAGAAAAGCGCAAGAAGGCAGGCGGCGTGGCCACGGGATTCCACTGGACGCGGGTTGGATGGAATCAACTTGGAGCCAATGGCTCAGTGGAGTGAAAAAGACCCAAGGTAGATGGCGGATGCGCCGTGCGGTGGCTGTTTTCGATTCGAGTTTGGTGGACCACAGAATTCGCAGGGAAGAATGGAGGGGGAGAGAAGGGCCTGGGATGGGCATGCGAGGGAATCTCTTAGTAACCCGCAACTAGGTTGATTGTGTAAGGCATTGAGTCAATCGAGTTGCCGGTGCCTTACCATGGGTTGGTGGAAGCATGAAGGATCCCCGCTACACGGAATACAGGCATTGTTATATCAAATATTGCTACCTAGGTATGGGGGCACCTGGAAGACCCTCCAACGGCTTGTTCGGTAGCAGCGACATAATTAAACAAGGTAAACAGGTAAACGGGTTGCCCCTCACCTAGGCACTTGGGGCCCTCTGGACACCTTGGGCAACCTCGGGCCACCTGGATTCCCACTGCACTGCCACGCCTTCACCTTCACCGTTGCCCGCAAAGTCTAAGCCTCCTTGCCCGACGGGCTACCGTTAAGGCTAGCTATTCCTTTGCCCACTACCGTTCTTCCCGCCTTTGCCTGCACAATGCAACATTCGTCTCCTCCCCCCACGGCTGATTCTCACCTCTTGACATCTGGAGTCCCATCTGCAGCATGTCGCATTGCCCCATGACATAGAGTACTCTGGCAGCTAGTTACAAGTACGCCCTAGTCGACGTGCTCTGCTGCTGCTCGCCCACGAGGTGCACGAGACACTACCCATTCAGGATCAAGTGAATGAACCGTCAGAATCCCCACAAAAGGCAGAAACCGATACAGAAAAAGGTGCGGAGAATTACCTTGATCATCCCTCTGACGCTATGAACAGGGAACGGGTCACAAGGATTCCTTTGTCCCTTCCCATCGATCGAAGGGAAAACGCCGTCGACACGCCCGAATGGCCTCCCCTGACTGGCGGCTTCTTTCCTCAGGTACTTTGCGATCATCCACATGGGCATTGATGCGCAGTCATCATCCACCCGTTGAGCTTACAGCTTCCCGCTTCAGTGTTCCTGACGACTTGTCGTATAAGACAAGCGGGCCTGCGTTGCAGCGGTGAAGTGATTGTTGAAAATGGCGCATGTGGCCGCCTGCTAGGAGGGATTCCTGTCGGAAAGGCATAGGTGATGAAAAGCTCGTTGTATTTTTGAAGGCTATCCAAGGAAAGCTATCAACACATGGTTGCTGAGTTAAATGATCATCCATCTCTTAACTACTGTAGCAGGCATATCATGGAGGCCACTCGACTCCCTCCGCTGCCACGTCTGCAAGCCGCAATGGCGAGGGAGACAGCAGGATGGGAGGGCGGCCGTCATAAATGTTGTCCGTTCGTTGAAATCGTGATGCCTCTCGCGTCTCGCGTTCGTATTGTTGTTGTTCCTTGCCCCAAACAATCGAACGCTACTTATCCAAACGCCCTTTCGATGCCACTTTGTACAGCTAAAGTTTTTCCCACTGAGAAACCAAAACACAGCACGTCCAGCTTAGTCCATCCCCACACCAGCTCTCTTCACCAACGGTCGGTTCATTTACACGGTGGGCCCGGCCTTGATGACCTCCTCAGTGGCCTCATCGGAGTATTTCTTAAAGTTCTCGTTGAACAACTTCGCGAGCTTGGTCACTTCCTCGCCAAAGTCGGCGGAGCCAGTCCATGACTTCTTGGGGTTCAAGAGCTCATCGGGCACGTTGGGGCATGACTTGGGGACATTGAGGTTGAACACATCGTATGTCTCGTACTCGGCCTTGGCCAACTCTCCAGAGTGAATAGCGTCCAGGATAGCACGCGTGTACTTCAATGGACAACGTTTGCCACCAGTAGTAGCACCGGCACCGACCCAACCGGTGTTGAGCAGCCATGCGTTGACATTGTGTTCGGAGATCTTGTCAGCAAGCATTTTCGCATAACGCATCGGGTGCAGAGCCAAGAAAGGTTGAGCGAAGCAGGATGAGAAGGTAGCCTGAGGCTCCGTAACGCCATCTTCGGTGCCAGCCATCTTGGATGTATAGCCAGAGATGAAGTGGAACATGGTCTGTGCCGTGTTCAGCTTGGAGATGGGTGGCAGCACGCCACGGGCATCGCAAGTCAGGAGGATGATGTTGCTAGGATGGTTATCGCTGAGACACGGGATCTTAGCATTGCTGATGTACTCGATAGGGTATGCGCAGCGAGTGTTCTCCGTCAAGGTCGCGTCGTCGTAGTCCACTTCTCGAGTCTCGGGGTCAAAGACCACATTCTCCAAGACGGAGCCGAATCGAATGGCATTGAAGATATCCGGTTCCTTCTCCGCAGACAGACCAATACACTTAGCATAGCAACCTCCTTCGATGTTGAAGATACCTTTGTCGGTCCAGCAATGCTCGTCGTCACCGATCAACTTGCGGTTAGGATCAGCGGAGAGTGTAGTTTTGCCGGTGCCAGACAGCCCGAAGAAGACGGTCACATCGCCATCCTGACCCTCGTTGGCCGAGGAGTGGAGGGTCAAGACGTTGTGCTTGACGGGCATCTCATAGAAGAGGACGGTGAAGACACCCTTCTTCATCTCGCCCGCATATTCAGTACCAAGGATCACCATCTCTTTCTCAGCAAAGTTGATGGCAACGCTGGTGGCGCTGGTCATCCCAGATGTGTATCGGTTGGCGGGGAAAGACCCGGCATTGTAGATGACATAGTCAGGATGGAAATGCTGCAGCTCTTCAGGAGAGGGTCTGATGAGCATGTTCCGCATGAACAGGGCATGATAGGCCCGGGCACAGACAACTCGGACACTGATGCGGTATCGTTCATCCCAGCCAGCGAAGCCATCGATGACATAGATACGGTTGCGGGTATTGAGGTAGTCGACGGCGCGTTCTCGATTGATCTTCCAGACCTAGAGCAACACCATGAATGTTAGATATCATTCACGACAACCACGTGGTGGGGCTGAGGGTGAAGAACGGAAAGATTCCACAACAATGGTGGCGATTGACCTAGTCTGGCCGAGTCATCCGCAGCCAAGACTCCTTAGCCGCGGCACAGGCCTGGTGAGCCCCAGCAGTGCGTCATGGGCTTGTCCGGGCAACGCGGGGCAGAACCACACAGAAACCACACTTCGCGTTGGAACAGCTGTGCTTCCTGCCGTCCGTAGCGCACATACGAACCACTGCATCACCGTGCATTGCGGGGAAGACCTTGGGTGTTGGCAGTCGAGCTTCTCGCTCTCATGACCGAGATCAATTGACTTAGGCCCTGCTAGGCACATGTGCTCGTCGTTTTCGGATTTGGGTCGGACAAGTCTCGCAAGGGTGCAATGGATAGAACAGGAACTGAGAGAGAGAGAGAGAGAGAAATGGCAATACTGACTTCTGGGCTCATAGGCTTGTTGACTGGTCCCCACCACACATCCTTCTCCGAGCTTTCCTCCTTGACCACACGCTTATCTAGCGGGGAACGACCGGTCTTGGAGCCTGAGTAGGCCGTCAAAGCTCCTGAGGAAGTAATGGCCGTACCGGTTTCGTAGACCAGGGCATCTTCGTAGAGAGCAGATACTGAGGGATTGGCAACAATGGCGACGCGGTCGTAGTCAATGTGTGCGGTGGTATGGAGCTCTTCTTCGAGCTCGGTGTGCTCGCGGCCTGGCCTGGGAGATTGGGTGAGTTGAAAGGGTCTTTCAAGTTTCGGGCATCAAGATGACGACAAACTTACTCGACACCCCCAGGGTGGAGAGCGGTCTTGTTGACAGAATGAGAAACCATTCTCGAAGAAAAGGCTCGAAGTTGGACTTTGGCTAGTTCTGAACGTGCTTTACCGGTTGCTGGAGAAGGAGAGTGCGGCCTGATCTGATGAACAGCTTGGAGACGAGCAGAATATTCTGAAGCCATGACTTGGGGATCGACCTGATATTGTATCTTTCTGACGATGGGGCCAAGCCGACCTGAAGTGCCACCAGGAGTGCTATTCCCGATGAACGTACGGGAGAGATCGGAGGGCGACGAGATGGTTTTGCGTACAGAGTCAATCCGACTCTGCCCGATGACTGCTGATTGGAAGAGGCAAAGTGCCGTCGATATGCCGTGTGGTACTAATTGGAGATCAATGCTACAGGTGCGGAGCATGCGATAATGGACGCAAATGCCCTTTTTATTATCGTGTTTGGTCGAGTCTTGAGAAGAAGTGAGAGGAAGAGGATGGCGGGAAGGCGGGAGAGTGACGGGAGACAGAGCCAGAGAGCTCGAACTGAGGTGGAGGCGAGAGCTGAGTCTGGCAGCCTGCGCTTAGTCCTGTTGTCCTCTCCTAAGAGTTCCTCTCGTGATGTTCCTTTCACCCCCCGCCAATCTCGCCCCCTGTAGACCTGAAGCTACGTGTTGAATGGCTGACTACCTCGCTCGTTTTTGCCCCTGGGTTCTACCCAGTACTAACAAGTAGAGGTCCTGCGCCTGCGTCAGCCTTCGTTCTCTTATGGCTCTTTGTTTTTACGCCAACCGAATGTGATTTCCGGGGTGCACTGTCCAATAACATATTTTCCGGGAGGGGACCAAGGAGGGAGAAATGACGAGGGCTATACATACGTCAACATGAATACACTCCGCATCTTGATTCGATAATTCTGACGACAAAACTGTTGATCAGGCAAACGAAAGAGGCAGGTCGGCGTGGCCTGGGAGGGGAAAGGCACAAAATAACACCAGAGGAGCGAGCAGACCATGACCAAACTGTCGCTCTAAATCAACACAGTAATGCTGGGAAAGGACTAAATCATTGCACCTTTGCCGGTGACCAGACTCTGCAATAAGGAACTGGACCAATGTCTATATTGGGACTCATCTCCACTTCGCAAGAACCACGCGAACCGCAATCCATCTGCCCGAGGAGCTCCCAAATCAACCCCCAATATACTTGCAGACTGGCCTAGATTCTGCACAGTAGGTAGAGAACGTGGATGTCATTTAAGAGGCTGCGCAGCCCTCACGTCATAGACATCAAGCAGTCTTCTGCCATGCTCCATACATGCCGAGCAAACTGCTAGTCACCCCCGCCAGACCAATGATACCGTCGTCAAGATTGACATAGCCGAGTATTGTGCTGGGGACAGTGAGGTCGCAGAGGTCGGAGATCAGCTGGATGTTGACAGTTTGTTGTTGTCTGGGTCTAGGAGTCAGCGGACATCTCTCAAGCAGGAAGTGGTCAAGGGCATTGGACTGCAACATACCTGGCAATCTTGACCTTCTCCACCTTGGCTTCGGCGTCCTTCTCATCCACAGCCCTGGCATGTTGCCTCAATTTATAAGTGTTGTAGATGCCGGCAAGGGCGCTGGCGACCAGGCCTGTGAACCAGAACCGGTATGCCGTGGCCTGGATGCTCTTCGCCCGGGGGTCTTTCTTGACTCCCATTGCGTCCAACAGCGTCATCATGTCGAAGAACATGTAACCAGCGTAGCCAATCTGCCTCAGAATCTGGAGATATTGCACGATCTTGTCCCCATTGCCCGACTTGACGGCCGCATCGTATAGTTCGGACCCAGCGCGGATGTGCTCAACGAATTTCCCAACGCGCAGGATCTTTCTCGTCAACCCGAATTGATTCTTGATCGCGGTCCATGGCAGGATGGCGCTTGTCGGGTTGTTGGTACGATACAAGTACCACGCGTAGAATCTGCTGAAGTATTGGATGGTTCGGAGGACTTTGTCACGACCGACTGCGACAGAGGTTTCTGGTCAGCAGATAGACTTTCGAGAGCCGGAGGATTGACCAACTCACCTGTTGTCGCAACATATCGGAGGTAATGGGTCACCGCAGGATGATAGACAAGGGCGTCTGCAACCATGGCTGTGATGCCTCTCGTGTTCTCTCTCGGCCTGCTAGCAGATAACAAGGGCGAGGTTGGGGAGCGTAAAAAGGCCAACTCGGGATGAAAATGATGATCTTAAAGCGCGATGCCGGGTATTAGCAAGGGAGCGAGGGAGGTCAGCCACCAGCCGCATAAACATGCTGCCTCGGCTCTTCGGGCAACACCCAACTTCTTACGAGGCCCGAATCCAATGCGTGTGCTCATGAACAACTTTCCATTCCAAGTGAAATTCAACTCTATGTATGTCTAATTCTACTCAATCAGCTTTGACAGCAACCGGTTTGGCAACAACTTCACCGCCTCGCACGTCCAACGGACAAGCGGTTATCCGTTCGCCTTCTATCTTTTCGTCCACGTCCAAAATATGCCTAGTACATGGGACCCTCAGCATTGTTCCCGGACTACCCAGTACTGCGATCAAGCTTCGAATCCCTAGGTCTTGATCGTATCCTTCGTCTGCAATAGCCTTGCACACCGTGACCTTTCTCCTGATGCACAGAATCATGTTTTCTATCAATGATTCGCGTCCACCTTGAAGACTGACAGATTGTCGAATCTCCCGTGCAAGTTCAAACAGGTATTAATGGGCCCCTAACAGCTTGCTCGCCCCTGAAAATGGGAGAAAGGGTATGAACGCCGACACTCGACCAGTAATAGGAGGCTGCAAAAAGAGAGGAATTGTTAGTGTATACAATCTTTGCTCAGAAAGGCGATGCCGCTCTCACCCTGACTTGTTGTTTGAACTCCTTTTTGATCACTCTTGATAATTTCTTGATCAAGACGGGTCGATCAACGTGATCATGGTCGGTCAACAGGATGGCTTTCTGCTCTTCACAGAACGTTATGATCCGGGTGTCAATTGCGTTGGTGGCAAGCACCCAAACCATCCTGGAACAGTCGACCTTTGTTCGATGCCGTCGGTTCATATTCTCCGGTACAGAGCGGATTCAGTCACGCTCACATCGAAGGAAAATAATGCCATACCCTTGTCAAAGGGAATCAAGAGGGCATCATGAATGTTAGCGGACATCTTTTCAAATTCATCAAGGAACACCTGATTCGCGGTCAACATCGAAAAGCTGCGTCAGAAAAAGAGACAGTGACTTACAATACCTGACTGCCCGTCTTTTCTGGCCAGGAAGTTATTCAACGGGGAGCCATGTGCCGAGCCATTGTATGGTGCCCTGGGACCAATGAGCTCATCTACGCTCTTGAAAGTTGTGCAGTTGACAACTTCAATTCTAGCGATAGGAGATGGCCAGTGGTCTGGCCAGCTCGGTTTCCTGTGCCCACTGGCGCCAGCAAAGACCCCTACTAGCGGTCGCTTCTTCCCTCTCCCAGTCCTTGGGCCATATAGCTGACTAGATGGTCAGCCACCAAGTTGGCAGCGGCAGTCTGGCTGACAAGGCAATACGGGATTCCCAGGAGTGCCTCAGCCGAACTCAACGTCGCCACTTGTCCGGCCCGAGTCGAAGGTTTCTTGACCTTTGTCGACTTCTCCATGCTAAAAATGTCTGTCAGCCTGTAGCCCGACATCGGCTGGATCTAACGCCGGCGACATCGTCCAAGCACGCAGCAAACTTTTAACAAGACCACCTACTAATAATGCTGTCCGAGATTAAGAGTTTTGACCGATTTATGGCGTGCGACTTCAGCGACACACCAATGCTTATTGTCATCCGCCAGGTCTGGCATACTATCTGCATTCGTTTACGTGGGAGATCGACGCAGAACGGCGAATAAAACGTCTATGGAATCAACTGCAGCCCCGAGACTCAACAATGTGGATACAGCGAGATTAGTGCCGCTTCGTACGCTATCGCAGTTGACAATGGCAAATGTTAGAAGTGGAAGTTCATCCTCTCCATACACCGACTCGACCCCCTCCCTTCTCCCCTCCCGAACCGTGCGTTGTCCCTTCGTCGTTTGTTCCCACGGCATTGAACATGACGGGAAAGCCGTCGACTGTACAAGTCTCGATCTTGGGAGGTTGTTCTGGCCCTTTGGTATTCGTCTCCGCTTCGCGTGTTGATTCCTTCATGTTTTTAGTGGCTTGAACGATAGAATGCCACTTTATGGCCTCTTCAAAAATTAGCCAAGTCTTCATTTTTGCCTGGTGATGACATTCGACCAGCAGGTACCTACAGTTAGCAAAGTGCGAGCTCGAAGATCTGAATACTGGTAAGCATCTGCGACTTTTCGATTGGATATGTCGTCTATCGGGGGCATCATCCTCAGTGATCAATCTGAAGTACGTTTCTCCAAGCTGGACACCTAAGGATTACACCAGACAGTGGCTTGTCTCATTGGCGGGCAATCTAAGTTTGGAGAAGCTGCTCAAGCCAGATCTCGCCTGTATGGGCTCCGAGGCTGGCAGCTGGCACCTAAGGCCGACATGTTGACCCGGGGCAGTGGTAAAGAGAAGCTTGTCACAGGTTGTCTGAGACGGCTGATCGCTGTCTGCCTTGGCTGCTGTGATTGAAGCTACAGGCACGTCGCTTACCATTCTGTTCCCCGAGGACTGAGTAAGGCAGATACAGTTGTTGGCTGAAAATGGATCGATACGGCTTGCTTTGGGCGCATCTTACCTCTTCGGGCGTTTGCTGGGGCGTTCAACGGCCTGTTCAGTCGATCTGGGGTAAGACCATTTCAGCGAGTCTGTGGGTTCAATCACTAGCTGACGAAAGACATTTTCTGGTCTGAAAGCAGGCTGTACCGGCAATCATAGCAATCGGGCGTGGATGTGGAGGTTCCTCGCTGCTGAGGTGCCGTTAGCGTGGGTTTGTCAAGCACCTCAAGGCGAAGAGACGGCGGTGGAAACCATCCTTGTCATGACAGAGAGACAGGCAAGGCTGTCAAAAAGGAAGGGCTTTTCCATTTATTCTCCCGGTCTCATTTCCGAAATTGACAGCGGAGAATTGGACGGCTTGGTCTGGACTCAGACGCAACTGCTTGGCACCACCGGTCAACCTATTTCTGGATACCCATGGAGAGTTGCTACGGGGCTGCTTGTAGCGTTCGAACTGTAATCTGTCTATGCATTAGCCAAAGCCCCAAGTCCAACCCTGCTTCCTCTCGGTGCTGGAAACTTCACTTTCGCTATCGAGTTAGGACGCACGAGCATGAAAGAGCTGAAAAAGATGAGCTCGCGGAGCGTCTCGCGAGCGCGATGGATATATTTGAGCAAGTTATAGAGCAGAAAGACGAGGCTGCAGGGCGGTTAATTAACATAATGGAGACCCTTAAGCAAGTCATGGAGGAGAAAGACGAGGCCCCAGAACCCCTGGGCGGCGTTTTGGAGACTCTTGAGCAAACTATTCAGCAAAGGGACAGAATTGAGTACCAGCATCGTGGTGTCCACGAGTAGCTTGCGAAAACCAATACAATAATCGGTGAATATGAGAGCAAATTCCAAGAGCAAGAACAAGAATCAGAATCGTTCCATAAAATGTTGGAAAGAGAAAGAACAAGCACATGCCGAACTCGAGACCGAGCTAAGGAAGGTCCACGGGAAGATCAGCCATATCGAGGAAGATCTGGAAAACAAAGGAAACGAGCTAGCTATTGCTCAAAAAGAGAGTAAAGAGCAAGAAGCCACATTATCTAACCGCTTGCGTGAGGCTCAAGAGAAGGTACAGTTGTTGACGCAAATAAACACAGCAGAGAAACCCAGTCTGACAAAACAGCTCAATGAAGCATTGGAGAAGTGCGCAACTCTTGAGATGGCCAAGAAAGAACCAGATCCTGATCTGACATGACAAATTAACGATGCCGACCACCAGTGCTCTGCTCTGGGAAGGGCGAACAAACGTCTCGCAGAGCAGGCTGCAAATGTCAGCAAGGAGCTCGCATCACTCTAGGAACGCCTCACTGAAAGCGAAAACTTTGTCGAGGGGAAAGCACTTTGGATGTCACTGGTACAAACAAAATAAAAGGACGCCAAATCTCGTTTAAAGGAGGCTCAAGCGGTATTGGACGCCCGTGATAAGCAGTCCAAAGCTCAACGAGAGGAATTTGAAAAGAAAATTCAAGCGCTAGAGACCCGCAGCCTTGCGACAAGATGTCTGACCTGGAAATCAGACTCGCTATGGCATTCCAAAAAGAGACGGAAGCCCTTCGACAAAAGGACAATTTAGCAGCGGAATTGTCACGACTGTAGCCTGAATTCAAAGAGGAGACATCGGGTCGAAAGTATGCGCTGTTGAAGGACCAGTAGGGAGAAATAGAATGCCTCACAAATGCCCTGAAGCCTTCTTCCGAAGCCATTGTCATTTGCATCGACCGCAGTAGGGGCATGCCGAATGATATGGACATCGCCAAAGAAGAACTCAGAGGTCTTCTGTGTGGCATCGGACTGCGGAATCCGTCAGCGATTGTCGGCATTGTTACCTACAATACTACGAACGGGGTGGCAGCCTTGCACGAACTCTCCGAAGTCAACAGCACGACGGAAAGTTGCTTGGGTGGTGTGTATACCAGGGGGATTGAACGTGGAAGAATACCATGGGTAACGGCTCGGGACATGCCGAGGAGACACAAGGGGGGAAGCCAAGGGCGTCTTGCCGAATCATTTGTATAGGTGATGGCGACGTGGAAGTGGAATTTTTTTATACGTTACCCATCTTGACGGCGGGTACTCTCTTCTCGATGTTTTTGCAGACGGAATAGTCGTTCATGCTGTTATTAGCTACATTCGCCACGACTGGCTATCGCAGTCCCCCTCCCATACAAACCGCCACGAGCTATCAAAGTTCGCACGGGAGACCGGAGGGATGAGCGTTGATTCTACCTTTCCAGGCACAATTGCAGCCCCGGAGCTCGTTGGCAGGATTTGATAAAAGCTTTCAGTCCGGGGTGGAGGGGCTACGGGGAATGAGTACTCCGTATGAATGACGAACGCAATGGATGAATACGATGGCTGATCTGACCTGTATATTTTTTTGGAGCCGCAGAGCATTCTGGATAGTATACGAGGCCATACCAATTAGAAGCAGTCTTGCTGCTAGCATCTGGCAATCTTCTGGCCCGCCTATTCGGAGCCTTGTGGACAATGTTCGGCTTGGAGGAAGTGCACATTGTACATGTTACAGGAAGCATTCCGAGAATCCTGCAAAGGGTAATCTCCACTTTTAAAGAGCCGAGGCTCCGACCCCAAGTTCCGGCGGCTTTGCGGAGAATGGCGCCATCAACCATTAGCTACCCCCTACCCACACAGCACCTATGAAGATAATCCCATCTTTCTTCAACATACCCAACAGCTTACTGTGAATTATCCCGGTGTTATTTTTTTGGCGGTCCCGCACAGATCAGGTTGGAAGGATTGTCACCGCCCTGCCTCGCGTTTTAAGGAATCTGTGTTTTTGTCTTGCCTAGTCGGGATTGTCGTTTGGTTGTTTTCGGGGTTTGAGAGACAGAGACAGAGAAGCGTGGATTCAAGGGGAAAAGGGCGCAGGTATAACGAATCAAATAGGTTTTGTGTCACTGTATTGGAGCCGGGGAGGACTCGGAAAGAGGAGAAAGACGACGACGACGACGACCGTTCGTGCGCACAATCACTTGCTCCAGTTCCATTTTCTTATATATGATTATCACGGAGGCACAGTAGCAGAACAGCCGAGGTGGAACGCAAAGAGAGACCGAGCCAGACCACAATGCCTACCAAGTCGACTTACCCGGACATCCAGATCCCCAATGTCGACCTTTGGGGGCTCATGTTTGAGCAGCCTCGGGACTTTCCCGACTCCCAAGGTGCGTGGATGAAGGAATTCTGCTTCTGAACTGTCGAAATTAGGATCTTTTTCTTGTTAACTCCAGCCACGGTTTTCAGTCATCTACCGTTCCGTAGACTCGTCCCGGCATTACACGTGGACGGACGTCAAAGAAGCCGCCACGGCGTTTGGAGGCGGTCTTCGCAACCTCTGGGACTGGGGAAAGGGTGACGTGCTGAACATATTCGCGCCCAACGATGTCGACTTTGGGCCGATCGTCTACGGCGTCTTTTTCGCCGGGGGCATTGTGTCGCCCGCGAATCCCGCCTATTCGGCCGACGAGCTTTCCTTCCAGCTGTCCAACTCCGGGTCCAAGGCGATCGTGACGACGATTGATTTCCTGCCCGCGGCTCTAAAGGCGGCGAAGATGTCCAACATCCCCGAAGACCGCGTGATATTGCTGGGCAGCAAACGAGATCCATCCCACAAAATCAAGCACTGGACCAATATCCGCAAGACCTCGGGCGCGACTCGGTACAGACGACGCAAGATGGATCCACACAACGAGCTGGCTTTCCTCGTGTACAGCTCAGGCACGACCGGTCTGCCTAAGGGAGTCATGCTGAGTCACCGCAACATCATCGCCGATGTCCTGATGATCAAGGGAGCAATGGGCAAGTGGTACTCGAGCGGGAAAGACAAGATCCTCGGGGTCCTACCATTCTACCACATTTACGGACTCACGGGGCTGGTCCATCAACCTTTGCATCGGGGCATCGAACTTGTTGTGATGCCCGCATTCAATCTCGAGGTGTTTTTGAAGGCTATCCAAGAGCACAAGATCACATTCATTTACGTTGCACCCCCGGTGATCGTGCGGCTGTCGCGGGATGAGATTGTCGAAAAGTATGATCTGAGCAGCGTGAGGATGATCACCAGCGGTGCAGCGCCTTTGACTCGAGAACTGGTCGATACGGTCCACAAAAGACTGAAGATCAAAATCAACCAAGCCTATGGATTGAGCGAGACGTCTCCAATGACGCACACACAGGTAAGCGCACCTCGGGCCCAATCAAGATGGAATTAATTGTGTGTGTTTGTTTCGCTGACACGATGACAACGTTCTAGCCCTGGGATGAATGGTACACATCGGTGGGAAGTGTCGGCAAGATGTTTCCGAGCATGATGGCCAAGTACATGTCTCCCGACGGCAAAGAACTTGGCCCTGGCGAGGCCGGAGAGCTGTGGCTGTCTGGACCGAATGTTTTCAAGGGATACTGGAAGAATGAGGAAGCCACCAAGGACGCCATCACGGAGGATGGCTATTTCAAGACAGGCGACGTGGGATTCCAGGACAAAGACCACAATTTCTACATCACGGACCGAGTCAAGGAGCTCATCAAATACAAGGGGTTTCAGGTAGCGCCAGCGGAGCTCGAGGGTAAACTGATGGATCACCCTGGCATCAACGACGTGGCGGTGATTGGGGTGTACGACGAATTCCAACACACCGAAGTGCCTCGGGCTTACGTGGTGGCCAGCGACGGCAGCAAGGCCAGTGAGAAGGACGCAGAAGACATCGTGCAATGGCTGGCTGGCAAGGTGGCCAATCACAAGAGGTTGCGAGGCGGCGTGAGATTTATCGACGAGATCCCCAAGAGCGCTGCAGGTAAGATCCTGCGGAGATTGTTGAAGGATAGGGCCAAGGAGGAAGACGGGGGGAAGATCAAAGCGAAACTGTAGCATGCCTGTACCTCGTAAGGGTCGAGTGCGGAAGACGTGCGGATTTCCGTCCATTTCCTTTTCCACTTTGTTTCTTTCTTTTGACTTTCCCTGTTCTGGTCGCTGCGGCGAGAACTCTCTGATGTACATATTTGATACACACAGGGAGGAAAATGCTGGTGGTGTGGACAAAGGCAATACAAGGCGAGTGCCAAGCTTTGCACGGCACGGTTTGATTCGGGCGTTTGAGGCGATTAAGCCTCTAGAAGCCGGCTGGGCATCTTTTTTTGGGTGACTCGGATCGACTGACCCTGATTGACAATTGATTGTCCACCAGAAGAACGTACCTTGCTCGCTATTGAGGCACCTAGGTTGGTCGGTGGTACAGTTACCAGGGAATGGAGTCCGTGGGAACAAAAGCTTTTCCGTTCCGCAGCCAATACATTGTCCAAAGCGTATACACGTGCACCACGTGTGTGTTCGCGTGTCCGACGGTTCTCCGTAAGAAACGGTTACCCTCGACGGTTACCCGGCCCCAGGGTGCTGAGATGGGAAGGTCCTCCGTGCAGGGAAGCAGCGTAATCCGTACTTACCAGTAGGTATTGAGGGCGGACACTCTCCTGGGAAGAAAAACAAGTGCAGACCAATTGACACCACGCAGCGGCGGCGATCCCGAATCTTTGTTCGTCCGTGGCGCAGGGTCCGTCGAGGGCTCGATGTTACGGTCGGAGAAGACGGCAGAGATGCAGCCACTCACAATGATGATGGGCTTCTGCAATGGGCAAAGTGTCGGGTGCCACAACTGTAAGAGCTTGATGGGCGTCATGGGGGCGTGATCCTTCGCAATGGCCCGAAGCCGGAACGGGACATGATCTGTGGGGGGGGTAGCAGGGGTCTCTATCAAGGCTGATGGTGGATGCTGAACAGGCACGGGGTCCGTACAGACTAGCTGCCAACTAAGCCCTCAACTGCCCAATGACCCCTAATGACAAACCACTAGATAACACTAGAGAGCACCTAGCGCGGTAACTAGACCCAGATAGCCCACTAACTACCCAATGCACTGACTACTGTGGTAAACTGTGACGTCCTCTATCTCCATCTCTCCCTCCTCTACCTCCTGCCGATACACCTAGGTAGCTCCTCCTCGTCTTCCCCAGTCATCGACCACTCCGTGCCGTCAACATGCCTGTTCACCAGCATATAGTTTCTTCTTTCGGCTTCGCCTCTCGATCTCTTGATCCACACTTAGATACCACCACTGATGCCACCTGCTGCTCGATAGTGGCCTCCCAGGTCCCTGTCCAGAAAAAATGTTATATACCCACCCCTCTGTCTTTCCCTCAGAGTGTCCCAACCCTTGTCCCAGAGCCAACACCAAAGTCAATTCTCTCTTCTCTCGAGCGACAGCGACAATGGATACTCCTCCCGAGAAGAAGATCATCGAAGAAAATCTTGGGCCTGAAGCCGCCCGCTCATACTCGATCCATGAAGCTCCACTCGATGCGACCCCGAAGTCACGATGGGAACGAACATGGCCTGTCATTGCCTGCGGTGCAGGATTGTTCTCTGATGGCTACCTCAATGGCGTATGCACCTCCGCTCCCCGGGGTAACGCAAGCCTGACTGACAGTTGCTTCTCCTAGGTCATTGGTTCTGTCAACACCATGCTCAAGACCATCTACAAAGACGAATACGTCAAATCGGATGCGCAAAACAACGTCTCCTCGATCGCCTTCGCGGGCACTGTCGTCGGCCAACTCGTCTTTGGTTACCTGTCCGACCATTGGTCCCGTCGACACTCGCTCCTGATCTCCACCATCATCCTGATCGTCTTTGCCGCCCTGGGCGCAGGCTCGTACGGCGCCGGCGGCAGTATTCAAGGTCTGTTCGCCGCATTGGCGGCCTACCGCTTTCTTCTTGGCATTGGTATTGGAGGAGAGTACCCAGCTGGCTCGGTCGCGTGCGCAGAGAGCACCGGGGAACTTAAGAACGGCCACCGGAACCGATGGTTCATCTGCTTCACCAATCTGGCCATTGACGTCGGTTTCGTCGTCGCCGCCTTCGTGCCCATGATCTTGGCCTTGATCTTTACCGACCACCACCTCCGCGCTGCCTGGCGCATAGCGTTGGGCTTGGGCGTCATTCCTCCCTTGTCACTGCTATACCTCCGGATCAAGCTGCAAGAACCCGAAGAATACCACCGCAACAAGATGAACCACTACCCATACTGGCTGATCCTCAAGTTCTACTGGTGGCGTCTGATCATCGTCTCCCTGATCTGGTTCATCTATGACTTCTCTGCCTACTCCTTCAGCATCTACTCTTCCTCGTGGCTAGCCTTCCTGCTCCCCGCCGACGCACCCCTCTGGAAATCCTTTGGCTGGAACACGGTCATCAACCTGTTCTACGTCCCCGGTGCTGTCATCGGCGCTTTCCTTTCTGACTGGATCGGCCCCAAGAACTGCCTCATCGTCGGTGTCTTCCTGCAGGGCATCGTCGGCTTCATCATGACCGCCATCTACAAACATCTCGACCAGGCCTCGCAGGTCGGCGGTTTCGTCGTCATGTACGGCATCTTTCTGGCCCTCGGCGAAATCGGGCCCGGCGACAACATCGGCCTGGTCGCCTCAAAGACCTCGGCCACCTCGGTGCGCGGCATGTACTACGGTATCGCCGCTGCCTGCGGAAAGATCGGTGCCTTCGTCGGGAACTACATTTTCCCCGACATCATCAAGGCCGCCGGTGACAACGTCATCAAGCAGGGTCAATACCCCTTCTACGTCTCCAGCGCCCTGTGCATCTTCTCCGGGCTTATTGCCCTCTTTTTCCTCCCCCAAATCGGCCAGGACACCATCACCGAGGAAGACGAGCGCTTCAAGGCCTACCTGGTCCGCCACGGCTACGACACCTCCACCCTCGGCACCAAAAAGTACCACGAGGAGAAGGTCCTGGCCGTCGAAAGGGCCCAAAGGATGTGAGCTTGCCGTGTACGGAGCAGTCTAGTAAGTGTAGTAAAACTTTCTTAGCAACCTATCGACTCATCAGTCAACTTGCTTTGACAAAGTCCGGGCGCGAGCTGAAAAGCCATGGATCTGTATACGTCCGCGCGAGCCAGCGTCTTCCGACTGCCTCTTATGATGGATGACGCCTAGGTGGTTAAGAAAGATAACCTGATAGGATTAGGTACCAAACAGAGAGCAGAAGCGTTATTCAATTAATTTGATTGATGAATGATTGATTAATACAGCGTCTCGTGCCTCCTCCTGCCCTGTTCTATCTGCTTGCCGACTCGAATTTGGGTTTCCATAACATTGTCACATTGAAGACAGGGAACGGAAAGTCCATTCTTTTTCTTGCTGGTTGGTCCACTTCGATCTATTCGCTACGAGCCGTACTTTAGCAGTAGTACATGCCATCGAGCATGGACTGGAGATACTTAGGGCCCTTGAGTGGGTGCGCGTGCCGTATTACGTCTTGGTAGCCTTCGCACCATTACCCCCATCCATCCATTCCATTCCATTCCATTCGATCTCGCGCCCGTTTCGGCACCTAGCCACCCATGCTACAGAATCCCCAAAGGCCATTTCCTCCCAAATATCTCGTTTCTCCGCCACGGACTAGTCCTGCGTATGCCGCCGGAGGGCACTCTTTGCCAGCTACTTACCTGTGTGAGGGGGACAGGCCGTGTATGCATCTCACGTTCTGCTTCCTTCGAGAATAGCTCGGCCCAACTCGGCTCTTGACTTCCTAGCATGCCTCTGGATGTGCTTCTGCACCTCATCTTTGAATGCGACCTCGTCCCAGTAGAAATTCAACGTCACGACGGTGTTGATGGGATCCGTGAACTCAGGCACGAGGAGGAGGCCGAAGATGGTATCCAAGATTTGCTTGTTGGTGGTGTCAACGGTCCAGTTCCGGTCGAAAATAGAGTGACTAGAGCGAAAGAAAAAAAGGATAGGTTAGTTCCAACCCAAACGACTGCGAACTTAAGAGCTAAATCGGAATCAGGAAGGAACCTTACCAAATTCTTCCGTGTCTGTTGACGTTGGGGTGAAAGATGGGAGTGATAAAGCGTCCACTTGGTGCTTTTCGTGGATAGTCCTCCCCCATGTCCAGATATAGGACAAATGCTCCACTAGCGTACGCCGAACCACTCGGGCCTTGCAGAGCAATCTTCCAGAACCCCATATTGATCTCAGAGATGTACACGTCGTACGAAGGATGAGAGTGATTGGCAATGTCGCGAATTTCCTCCAAGAGTCTCCGGGACCGAATCGACGAGCTCGAAGATTGCGCCTGCTCAGAAAATCTTGACCCCCCTGTTCTTTCGAAGCGACCGATTTGGATAAATGTGTCACTGAGATTCTCATGTGTCTTGCGATCTGGAAAATCATCCCTGGTAACGGGGTCGGCCCTTGCAGAATGAGTGGTGCGAGGAAAGCTAAAAAATGAGGCCGACATAGGCCGATATATTCGTGGTCGTTCATGGATCGACAGCACCGGCTCCAGCTCGCACAATGCAGAAGCCTCTTCGACAGAGTTGGGTACAAATTTGTATCCACCTGTAAGATAAGAGACCGTTCGCAAGGCAGAATTATTCTCCTCTCCGATGCAGACCGAGTCCACAACAATGTCATGCTGTATCAATGTCCGGCAGACATCCTCAACCTTCTTAACTGAGCTCGTATATTGGCCATCAGATAGGCATATGATTCTTTTCTTGACCTCAGGGTAGCGTCGACCGGATTCGATCAGATGATCTGCCGCCAGTGCAACAGAATCCCATAGAGCAGTGTCACCTTCTTCCTTCATACTATCCACTGCCTGTCGAAAATTCTCGATGACGCTCGTCACTCGCTGCGAGATGCTCACCGCTGTCCCGAAGGTGACCAGGCCGACATTCGTGGGGAAATTGTACGCAATTAATCGGTTGATGAATTGCGAGAAGACCTGTTTAGTCACCGCCATTCTTGATAAGACCTTCTGCTTCTGCAGTTCACGTTGCTCGAGTTCCTCCGGACTCTCGTATTTGTATAGTCTGACTTTCAGAACTCGATGACGGTCATACTGGTAGAGCTCTCCCGGGATCGTGTCTGAGTCTGATTCTGAGTTCGATTCTGGGTCCGAGTCTGAGTCTGACTCCTTAGCCGCGTCGCGTATGCGTCCATAGATCTCTTCATGTTCTTGGATCTTTGTGCGAGGAAGGTCCCACAAATGTTCGGACAAGGAAGCCCAAGAATCGTGTATGGTGCCAATGGCAACGGCATCGCCGCCATCTCTAAGGCCTGTCCATGGAGACTTATCATAATCACAATCAACAGCACAGTCTTGAATGTCAAATCTCCAGTTGCGGAAAATAATCGAAGCGAAGGTAATTTCAGAGTTCAGCGGTACCCAGTAATTGAATGACTCCTCTGAAAAGTCATGGGCGCCGTATACTCGAATGAGACACATTTGCTCTTGACTCGTTGAGACTCCGGCAGTTTCACCGTGTGGGGTGTAGTTTGGACTGATGGTGATAGTCTGGCTGCCTACCATACCCTTTTGAACCATATTCTCTTCAGAGCAAGGCAGGTGGACACCTCCCATGTATAGCGAGAATCTGGCGTAAAGGCCTCGCATTCCTCGGAAGGCGATCTTGTGTAGGTCCAACAGCCGTGCCGATCCCGGAATCTGTCTGCTGAAGCGGACTGAGGGTCCAACGAAGTCAATGATAGTTCCTGACTGGCGTGCGGAGAGTCGGGTACGCTTAGGCGTCGAGGGCAAAGAATTGATGACATCTTCTGCCTTTACCCAGGCCTTGATTTGATTCGCCATGACTTCATTATGCCTCAAAGTCGTGTCTTCGATGGGAAGCCCCGTCAATGGCGAGCTTTTGCGGACTCGATACCACCTCTCGATTGCCTTTCTGTCGAACATAAAACCATCCGATGTATCCACTGGGTCTTCGAAGATGACTTGGCTAATTGGACAGAGGTACTCCTGAGGGACGGCGCAAAAGTCGCCTAGTTCTACCACCTCCTGGGCTGAGGAGGATGGGGAGCCACCGGGCAAATCATCACCATAAGACCACGTGAATTCTTTTGATTCAAACGATGGATCCTCGGCAGTGAAAAGCAGAAAGTCGGACAAAGCTCTTTCATGGAGATTCAATCCGGTAAGGGTTCTCCGTAGAGAATTCATTTGCCGCTCGGTAGACGAGGTACGAGAAAATGCGAACGTAGCCCATCGGGACTTTCTACGTCGCTTGGTCGCCAAGTGAACAAGCTCTCGACTTATCAAGGTTCTCAGAAACTCGAGAATATCCCTCACGACGTCATGGCGATTGAACGGATAGTGGTGAACAATATGAAGGATGTCCTCATAAGATTCGTGGCCGCGTAACCAGGACTTGATCTCCTCTAACGGAACTTCTGTATCGTCTTCATCATCCAAGACAACGTCGTGATCAACACTGGAACAGAGTGGGCCGTCGTCGTCGCCCTCCTCTAGCTCCGGAAAACCCGATGACTCGTTCATGCTTTGACTGCAGTCCACGCAGAAGACAACTAGTTCAGTTGGAAGGGAGTCCTTGTGGCGGAAGCTTGCGCTGAAAAGATCGAAGACATGTGTCCCATCCGTCTTGCGAGCCAGCAGGATTGGCTCCAGCACCTGAGCAATGATTGTTACATCAACATTCTCCTCAGCTCCGGTCAACGGGTGAAACACTGCGTGATCGTGGCCTGGCGCAGCGCAGGCAGCCCTTCCCGTATAAACCGCCAAGTTGCCATTCCGGTCGAGGGTCAGGCACGGAGCCTTCGCGTCTGACAACTGACGCGGTGCGACGACGACGAGCTTGGTCTCCTCGCACAAAGAAGCAAGGTATGCAATGTCGCAAGATAGACTCTTTACGTCAAGAGAGCGCGATTGAACAGCTGCGCACTCACCAATTGCCGCTCCCAACGCATCTGCATCGTAGTATGGTGCCTCTAGAGCCGCGCCACCGTAGAGCAGGGCTACACGGATCCGAACAGAATCTTCCTGGCTGCGGTCCGTGAGGTAGCTTGAAGGATATTCTTTCAGGGGCCCGGAAATGGAGAATGCCTCGAAGACACCCTTGTTAACTAAGCCCACATTCGTCAAAACCGGCTCGGTGACTACCTCTAGCGTTTTGACATCCCTCAAGTCAACGGTATGATACCCCGAAATGTAGGGTAGTCTAGACCTTGATGCCTCTGCTGTGCCCGGACCTGCATGTTCCGGAGCTTGCTGCCGTCGAACGTTATGGAGAATCAGTCCAAGGACCAGTCTGGCACCTTCCAAGCTCCGCCTCGGATCGTTCGATATGAGGTTCTGAGGTATCAGTTCCTCTGCCACTCCAGCAATGCTCTGCACAAGAGCGGCACTTTCGTTTGACTTGAGGCTCTTCCCATCCATCAAAATGTGGGCGGCCCTCACCGCCGGCGGGAAGCGGGTGAGTATGTGGAGCGTGCTGAGAACTTCATTTTGACGGCGGTCATCAAAATCTTCAGATCCGACGAGATGTGAAAATACTCGAAGTGATGCTAGAACAGCAGCCATACCACGGTCGGATTGGACCGATGGCAACCTCCAGTGGCAAGCAGCTGTGAATATAGCATCTTTCCCATTTCCTTTCTTCTCGTTCGCGTCGTATGTCCACTCGACGGCGTAGAGCGTAAGGATACCGTTGATGGCGATTTCAGCCAATCCAGCATTTTCAAGTGTCAGGTCAAGATTGTGGGTGTTGATAGGGCCTTCGATGGTGTGAAGATCGAGTCTGGTACGGAAGGCACCTCGGCAGGACTGTGAGCTGACGCCATTTGGTTGATGCCTCGCGGTGGCACAAACAGCCACGACGGGCAGTCGGTTATAAGCGTCACCGTCTTCGAGACCTCCCTTGAAAAACACGGCTTTTGCATGGGTGAAATTTTCTCCGAATCGATCAGCAAGCCTCGCCATCAGCGCTGGGTGATTGTTCGATGCCAGTTCCAGCTTCTCAATGTGGCCATTCCCAGAGACAACCCAGACATGAGCAGAAGATGTTGTGTAACAGTGTTTTGCCGTGTAACAGGACGAGGGACATTCATACTCCACTCCGCTGTTGAGACACTGAGAGTGGATAACATGGCCACAGGAGAGGTCTGACCGGCGGAGAATGTATGAGTGGCACAAGCCTGCCTCCTTTGTATCGTTATGAGAGCTAACAGGTTTGTGGCATCGAGCGCATGGTATCATTCCGGAGATGCGCGATGAAGTAAAGCAACAGCCTGTGCAGTTTTGAACCTCGCAAGGAATCTTTTCCCATTCACCTCTCTTCACTAGAAGCTCAGCTAACTTGCAATTGCATTCAGCATCCATCGGTTGTTCAGGCGGGACAGTCGGCAGGCGGAGATATTGAGCAACATCATCTTTGATCTCTCTCAAAGTTGAGGAAGGTGGGTAATAGCGGCCGTCTTTCAGGAGGGGGATATGGCGGAATTCGGGATTTCGTTGTGCTAGAGCTGGGGTGATGATTTGGATCTGAAGTGCACCGACAACGGAAAGTTGATCATCATCAAGCTGAGCGCCTGCTAGCGGGCCATCGAGAAAGATGACGAAAAGCACGTCTGATGTGGTGATCACATCCTGGACAATGTCGTCTGCCTCGATCAGGTAGCCATCATCCGAGCCTAGGCAGAGTTTCAAATGATCTTGTCGAACGTAGGAAGGCAAGGAGCGGTACTTGGAGGCACGTTGTATGACAGTAGCCGTTAGATCCGAGAATGCACGACTGCCATCAAACGGTACGACAAGGTCAAGCCTATCGCCCTTTGGGGGGATCAAAGCGACCCTGTATGGTGCCATTCTGAGAGTTAATGTCCCATGGGTACCAGACGGTGACTGAGATATCGGTTCGAGGTAGTCAAGATTGTAAGTGAGCAAAAGAGATTGGAACGACGAAGAGGACGGCTGATTGAGGTGAAGAACAGCCGCAATTGAGAACTTGCGCTACTTGTAAGTATCATCGCCTGATGGTGAGGCAGCCTCAAGGCAGTGAAGTAGTGAGGAGCCTGAGACTGAGGCGCATTTGAGGTGAATTTTTGAAGAGTGGTAGGGCGTCGGGGGGAGCACTATCTGGAAGGAATGGAACACGAACTTCAGGAACAGATTACCAGTAATTCACCCGTCTTTGTTTCTTTGTAATTTCATCGGGCTAAAAGGAGGAGGCTTGTAGATGTGCTCCTCTCCTTGGGCGCAACCCCGCCTCAACTGGATGAACACGAGGTGGAAGTGCAGGGCCAGCCGCAACAAGGCGCAAGGCTGCCTTGCATCTGGGCTGCCTGCCAGGGGATGGGCACCAATGAGAAGCGATGGCAATGCATCGTTCTGGCAGTTGGTTCCAGCGCCCTTGGAATCCCACTGGACTACATCAGGAGCCAGCAGCACAGCTCCCAGACGCAGATTGGCTTTCAAGCGAAGCTCGACACAGCTCTTCTGTCGAGATGGAACAGACAAGTGGGGCGGCGTGATGAAAACCCGGCTCAGCCTTGTCAGCCCACGTCGAAGCCGACATTGCCCCCATCATTCACTGCGAACAGTGGTTCATTACGCTGTAATGGGTGGTAGATTTTACTCGTGGCTCTCAGAGACGTAAAAGTGAAGGGGAAAGCGAAACAGACCCCCGCCCCCGGTTCTACAGCTGTCCACAACATCGGTAAAAGCTCATGCGCTCCCCCGTACAAATTACGGTGGCGCACTAGTCCAGGACGAACACTAGGCTGGCTTTTGATGCGCGTTCTCCGACTTGTGGTGATATTTACACCAAAGCCACACCTCACGCCGCTTGCATTTGCAGCCTCTTTCGATTGCTCTTGTAGCTCCTACGACTCTATCCGGCCATCCTGCGCAATGGGTTCAGATCCTCAGTTTGCCAAATATCCCGACCTGACCCTCGCTCAGCACATCTTCTCCCTTGCGAATGCGCCTCGCACCGCCCAGCCAGTGTCCTTGAACTACCTTCAAAATGCAATCAAAAACCAGAAGATGGCGCCGTTATATCGGCATTTGGCTCATCCTTCTGATGGAGTGCTAAATTCGATGGGAGAGAGCACGGCTCAACCACCACAGCCACCACCAAAGCCTGCTGCCCGACGTGCGTCGCTAGTGTCCAGCAATCTATTACCGCCGAAGAGGCCCGTACCTTCCGGCATCCTGCCTTGGGACGAATCGCTGTATGAAGAACTCAAAGCCGACAACGCAAAGGAGCTAGAGCAGTTCCAGAAAGAGGAGGAAGAAGCTGAAGAAAAGGCGGGAGAAACAGAGATACAAGCAGCTCGAAGCAAGCGTGCAGAGTTCTGGGCTCGAGTTGGCGACAAGGTGAGCTGGGAGACCGTATTGTGAAGCGACACCTTTCTAATCAGGCGCTAGGACAAAGCCATTGCTGCATATGAAAAAGTCTTCGACAAGACTGGTCCGCTCGGCACAAAGATTGATATTGTCCTTGCCATCATTCGCATTGGGATCTTCTTCAACGACAAAGCGTTCACCAAGAAACAAATTGAACGTGCAAATATCCTGGTGGAAAGTGGCGGAGACTGGGATCGAAGAAATCGATTAAAAGCCTACAAGGGCCTGCACCTCCTCACTGTCCGATCCTACAACCTTGCCGCTCCTTTACTGCTCGACAGTCTCTCCACATTCACTAGCTACGAGCTGTGCAGCTATTCTTCGCTCGTCGTGTACGCCGTGCTTGCAGGGTCCCTGTCCCTCAAGCGAGTTGATTTCAAGGCCAAAGTTGTTGATGCGCCCGAAATAAAAGCAATCTTGGGGAATAGCGAGGACAAAGTCCCAGGCGCAGATGAAGAGATGAAGGATGCGTCTGCAGCAACAGCAGAACGTGCTTCGGGTCTGGTCAATGTGAACGCACTAGGAACGAGCAGTGCAGCGCAGTCGCAGACCGAAGCCCCTGTGGATGTTTCCTCTCTGGGGGAATTAGTCAACAGCCTCTACAACGGCAACTATCGCAATTTCTTCCTGGCATTGGCGGCTGTGGAAGAAAACTTCTTGACGCAAGATCGGTACCTGTATGAGCACCGAGCCTGGTTTGTGCGAGAAATGCGGCTGCGAGGATATCAACAGCTCCTGCAATCTTACCGGGTGGTGGGCCTGAGAACGATGGCACAGGCATTTGGGGTCAGTGTGGATTTCTTGGACAGAGACCTGGCCAAGTTCATTGCGGGTGGTCGGGTGAGTTGCACAATCGACCGCGTGCAGGGAACCATCGAGACAACCCGCCCGGATGACAAGAACAAGCAGTATGCAGACGTTGTGAAACAAGGGGATGCCCTGATCACCAAGCTGCAGAAGTATGGCCAGGCCGTGAGGCTGAGAGGTAGCGAGCGAGCTTGAGCAGCAGTCGCCATGTGCAGAGCATCACCAATCTGGGAGAGAGTGGGAAGCGCCAGGCGTTTTAGACCGGATCGCAGGAAGACATCACGGCATGGATTGTGTCATGTACCATACTATCATCATACTGCGATGGCCATGAGGTTTCATTCAAAAGGAAAAAGGAATGTAGCTGAGGGCACGGAGCATGCCGGCCAGCGACAAGTCCTCATCCGAGGAGGCTTGATCGGACAATTCAGTCGGCTTCTCCTTGTCTCTCTGTCCTCCAATTAATTCATGTCGGCTCTCGAAGCCCCTGTTGGACGCCGAGAAAGGCCTGCAGCAACCCCTTGGAGCTGTGGCGTCCCCCACACTCAACGATAAGATAGACGGGATGAAGGCTTTCCCCATGTTGCCCATGTGCCCATGTGCCCATGACGAGACGAGATTGACGCCAGCCAGATCCTCGATAGCAGCCTGCCGGGGCGATCGTGTGCGTGCGCCCCTTGTTTTCCTCCGACGACCTGCCCCATCTCGAATCATGTCCCATTGCCTCACAGCTGGCTGCTTCAGAGCCTTCTGCAGAATTTGATATCTTGAGTTTGGCAGCTCCCGATATCGCTTTGCCTGCTCCAAATCTGACGGTCAAATCACTGACTCCCCAAGAAGCGGCCCCCCACTCCTGATCTCGAGGATCTGCCGTATCCATTGTACCAGAAAAATGCCCTCGCCCACGGCCACCGCGTCACGAGCGTCCTCTGCGTTGCTGCGAGCTCAACGTTTATCCAGTGAACTTGCCATCAGCCGCAGGGCGCTGTCTACCGCAAGTCCAACACCTCTTTCACGGCCAGCACAGCAGCCAAGCCCATCACAAGGTGAGAAGAGCGAAGTCGCAGCTGCCCTGGTTGATTTCTTTTTTGCACACCACCTGTGACTCGACTTGCTCGACCAAGCTAGTTGCTTCTGTGCACCCGACCATTTTTCGCCTCTCCCGTACCCAAGTATCTGGTGACCAGCGTATAACTAACATTTACAATCCCCCAGGTCCTTGTCCTCCCTTCAGATCTACACCTCGATCCTGCCGCCGCAACATGTCGTCAACACCCGCCCGCCGCAGTTTAACCATCCATAACATCAACCCCCATGTGAGGGCAGCAAAGTATGCCGTCCGAGGCGAACTGGCGATCAAGTCGGAAGAATACCGCTCCAAGTTGAAGCGAGGAGATCCTCCTACACCTCCAGAGAACCCTCTGCCCTTTGACACGGTCATCTCGGCCAACATTGGCAACCCGCAGCAACTCGACCAGAAACCCATCACGTTTTTCCGGCAAGTCCTTGCCCTGCTGGAGCATCCAGCATTGCTGAACAATGAGGAAGCTCTGAAGTCGAGTTTTGGCTACAAACAAGATGCCATAGATCGGGCCCGCTGGCTGCTGAAGGAAATCCAGTCGGTGGGAGCATATTCGCAGTCTGCGGGCGCTCCTGGCATTCGCCAATCGGTGGCCAACTTCATTGCGCGCAGAGATGGCTTCCCGGCGAACAAGGACGATATCTACCTGTCTGCTGGTGCCTCGTCAGGAGTCAACACTCTCCTCCACATCATCTGCAGTAAGCCCGAGACGGGCGTGCTCGTCCCTATACCACAATATCCTCTCTATACCGCCACTCTGACTATTCTCAATGCTCGTTGTGTGCCTTACTATCTGGACGAGTCTCAGGCTTGGAGCACGGAGCTGTCCATAATCAAGCACGCGTATGACGAGGCAATCAGGCTAGGCACTGATGTGCGTGCCATCGTTGTCATCAACCCTGGAAACCCAACCGGTGCCTCGCTGTCTGAAAAGGATGTCGAGGACACGATAAAGTTTGCTGCAGAGAAGAATCTTGTCATCATGGCCGATGAGGTCTACCAAACCAACGTCTTCGTCGGCCAATTCCATTCCTTCAAGGGTGCCTTGCGGAGGATGCAGCAAAGGGAACCAGGCCGGTACGACACGGTCGAACTTGCATCCCTGAACTCGGTCTCCAAAGGTATGGTGGGCGAATGTGGGCACCGTGCTGGTTACTTTGAACTTGTGGGCTTTGACCAACAGGTCCAGGCCGAAATCTACAAGTTCATCAGTATCATGCTGTGCCCTCCCGTCATTGGTCAATGTCTCCTGGATCTCGTGGTCGACCCTCCCAAGCCCGGGGACCCCAGCTTCGAGCTTTACGATCAGGAATACAACAGTGTCAGGAACGGGCTGAAAGAGCGCGCCTGGGCACTCTACCGAGCGTTCAAGGAAATGGAGGGTGTCGAAGTGGGAGAGCCACAGGTATGTCGACCTTTTTGCCACCTAACCATTGTTCTCTGCCTTTTCGCTTACATTGACCATGACAGGGCTCCATGTATCTTTTCCCCACCATTACCGTTTCGGACAAAGCAGTTCAGGCTGCGAAAGAGGCAGATCGTACCCCTGACGAATTCTATTGCCTCCGTCTCCTCGACGCCACGGGTATCTGTGTTGTCCCGGGTTCCGGTTTCGGGCAGAAACCGGGCACACTACATCTTCGAACCACCTTCCTCGCTCCTGGAACAGATTGGGTTGGCCGATGGACCAAATTCCACAAAGAATTCATGGACAAATACAGATAGCCAAAAACCCCTCGAAAGGGGAGGAGAAATTTGCATCCCCGGTGTGGGTGCCGACTTTGGAATTCCCGCCTTATCATTATACCTTGTCCTGGAACTGTATGATATCAATCTGCTCCTGTTCAATATTCACAGTACTCGCAAGTACACTGCACTCTCGCCTCTTCATCCAAAAACTCATTGACAAGTCTCGCACAATGACCGTGATATTCGAACATAAACCCGTGGCCAGACTCCGGGTACATATGTATGTGTACGTTGGGATTGGTCGGGCTGATCTTCTGCCACAGCAGAATACTGTTTTGTTCCGGCACAAGCTTGTCTCTCTGGCCGCACAGGATCAAGACGGGACACCTGATCTCGCCCAGTCGGTCATAAGAGCCTTCATCGCGATGGTTGAGACCGTACCACCTCATCATCGCAGTGATCTGCCCATCGATATCACTTGTCGACATGAACGGCCACATCGAGGAGCAGCTTGTGATCCGGTTCCACCATTTCTCCCCAGTTTTCTGTCTCTCTTCACTAAGTCCAAAGAAGCCGGCGAGGAAGCCGGCCTTGGTCTCGCCGTCGGTCGTCGCATTCGTCAGATTCTGGAAGTAATGCATGTCACCGCTTTCTACACCTGGCCCCTGACTCGGCGCAGTGCCCGCAAGGATAAGTTTTCTGATCATGCCCGGGGGTGCGTCAAGGGCTAACATCTGCCCGATGAAGCCGCCCATGCTGAAGCCCAACACATCGATCTGCTTGAAACCTAGGGCGCTGATCAATGCAATGATTTCTCTGGCCCAGAACGTGAAAGACGGAGGCTTCGAAGGCGTTGGCGATGGCGCCTGCTTGCGTCGAGGCTCGGCTCTCGCGGTTCTTTTGCTCCCCTGGAGGGTCTGGGGATCTACACTGCCGTGGTTGTCTAACAAGAGAAGTCTCCGCTGGGAGGCAAGGGCATTGATCAAGGCGGGATCCCAGAAATCCAGGCGACTGCGGAAGTGTGTTGGCAAAAATAAGGGGACATCGTCTTCTTGCTTGCGAGTGCCGAAGAGCCTGTATGCAAAAGTGCTGTTGTTGACTCTGAGGATTCGGACTGGGGCAGTCGCGTAGGCTACATTTTCCAGTTCGGCCATGACTTCGACCTCTATCTAGGGTTGTTAGTTTTATTGCGCAGGAAAGATGTTCTTTGCCGTGGTGTTTGGGTTAATAAACCCTCGTCTAGGCCTTTTAATATCGGCGGCCATCTACGCCAACTGAAGACAGGCAGCGCCTCGACGCTCGACGCTTATGACAGCTTCGGCGTGTAGCTGCGAGGAACAAGACTTGAGCGGAGCCCGAAACCATTTGTGGCTGTTGTCCAGCCCCATTTTGTGCCTCGACCATTGTGCTGCACACTGATTATTCACATGCATCACGACCAGTTGGGGCGACCCAAGAGCCAAAGACCCAGAACACTCCCAAGCAAGTTGGCGAAGTCTCCCCGGGGCCTAAACTTATTCAGGCAGTTCAGGTCGGTGCTGGGGGAGCGACAGCCTCTTACGATACACGTCCAAGCTTCGACCTGGCCGTAAAGGACACTTCTCTTTCCTGCGCCAGACGAGGTTGTCGAGCGATGTGAACCCCAAAGTTACGTCGAGGTAAAAAAACACTACGAGGAAGCCCGAAATCGATTTTCCACAAAGATTTTTGGGGGGCTGTCATTCAGCCAAGGCTGTCATTTAGTATATAACAAGTGTCTCCAAAAACTATCTTGGTGTCACTGCATGCTCGGAGCTTCGGAGTGCCCTAGAGCCACGTGTAAAAGGGGCGTGTTCCTTTCCTCCACACTCTTCCTGCATTGTCCGGGTTTCTGAAGGCTCAAGAGCCGAATAAACGAGCGTTTTCTCTCCTCCACACTAATTCCTGCATGAACGTTTCCCAGTCGCGGACGACGCAACAAGACTCGAATGACAATCATGCCTGGAAGAACTCGAGCAAGTCCTTGTTGATGTCATCTGGGACGAGGTTGGGCAAAGCATGAGCACCGCCGGGATAGACTTTCAATGTTCCGTGCTGGAGCAGCTTGATCGATTCATACGCGCTTGCCGCGATGGGGACGATTTGGTCGTCATCACTTGGGATTTGCCGTTAGCACGCGAAGTTAAAGGGAGGTAGGTTTACTTACCCATGGATGACCAGGACCGGAATGTCAATCTTCTTCAGATCCTCCCTCATATCGGTCTCCGAGAAGACGCGAGTGCACTCGTAGGCATTCTTGAATCCACACAACATGCCCTGCTGCCACCAGCTCCAGATTTGACCCTGGCTCACATGGGCACCTTGACGGTTGTATCCAAAGAACGGTCCGGTGGGCACGTCGAGGAAGAATTGCGCGCGATTGTTCTCCATCGCTGCCCTGAAGCCATCAAAGACACTCATTGGCAAACCCAGCGGGTTGGTGTCGGTCTTGAGCATCAGGGGTGGAATTGCGGCCACAAGGACAGCCTTGCGGACCCTGCTGCTGCCGTGGCGGCCGAGAAAACGGGTCACTTCTCCACCGCCTGTAGAGTGGCCGACCACTGTGTGAATTTAGCACCTCGGTCCCTCGCCCCAAAATTTGCCGAGATTGGGGGAAGGGGGTTGGGACAAGAAACTAGACAAAACACTCACTCATGACATCCTTGAGGTCCAAATGCTCCAAGAGGGCGAGCAAGTCGTCGGCGTAAGTGTCCATGTCGTTCCCAACCCATGGCTGACTGGACCGTCCGTGGCCGCTACGGTCATGCGCAACCACGCGGAAGCCTTTGTTGGCCAAAAAGAACATTTGCGCTTCCCAGTTGTCGGCGTTCAAGGGCCATCCGTGGGAGAAAACAACGGTTGGGCCGTCTTTGTTGCCCCAGTCCTTGTAGTAGATCTCGGTGCCATCCTTCACGATGATCGAAGGCATCTCGCTGGGCCGATGAAGTTCTGGCGACGGAGCTCGTAAGTTGTTTTGAGACGTTGTCAATGGTTTCGTCGTCAATGGATCTGGTCGAGTGCGCTATGGACAAGAGGCTGATACAGGCGGAGGTAAAGTTTCATCCCTCTTATACCTTTTCATCCTCTCACATCTTCTTCGGGTCTGGCGCGGTGTCTCGATCGAAGCTGAATTGTCAACCCACGATAAGCCATCATCGGCTGCCCGGTCTTGCGCTCGTTCTTGACAAATGTCCTGTGATTGATGTGGATTGCCATTCTTTTCCTGTGTCTTGGTCGAAAGGACACGGAGAAGGATCGGTCTTCTCTTCGGTGGCTGCAGACAGCAAGAGCCATGGACAACGATGAGCTTGGTGTAGAGAGAACAGGCAGGAAGCTAGCTGGGGAAGGAGACATATGGAATTGCATGCCGCCCAACCCCGAGGATGTCTCTGGATGCCTCTGGCTAGTGAACCTCTCCACCTCGATCTCTTCCACCTGGGCTAACACGATAGAGTGAGAGTGTGGGGAAGGAGACAACACGTCAACCGAACAAGCATGACTGGCACGTCTTCGCTCGGAACTCGGGCATCGGGGAAGAGCAGCTTCCAATTCCAAATTGGGGTTTCGGTAACATCTAGGTCTATACGTGTGTCTCGAATTCGTGTTTTCAACGGCCAAGAGAATGTACGTTTCCACCTCCCTTGGACCTGCATTCCATGGCGAAAATTCGGATTGTCCCGATCCCAATATCTCCGCTTCTGGACCTGTCCATTATTCTACGCCGCACAAGTATCAGCTTGCATTTTCCGAGGTGCAGAGGGGAGCCCTGTCCTCCTAGTCGCCCGGGGGTTATCTAGGCGGGCACTTCACCCAGGCAAGCCCGGCGAATATTCGGACACTAAGCAGCCAACTGCGATAGAGATCATATTGGCGATATTACCACCACACTACAATGTGTGCCGTGTTGACGGTTCTCGACGTTGGCTCTTTGTCTAGCTGGGGAAATAACGACGCTGCCTTCTAATTGTATACAGGCGATTTCTCGGCTGTTCAATAGCCGCGAGGCGGCTCCGTGGACGAAATGCCCTGCCGACGAACCACCTCGCTTCCTGTACAATGGATATGTACTATACAGACGAAGATGTGGAATCCCGCGGACAGTCCTAAGAAGCCTGATACCAATTTCAACAGGGCTAGTGCAGGATCCTGGGGGTGGCAACAAGCGCTCCATGCTCCTTCCACGGCTCGGTCCAACCTAGGCTGGGAGAGCTGTAAAGAAAGCCAAGGACAGTGAGGCCCACGCTCGCGTTGCCCGGCACGGGAAGCACAAATGGGGCTTTGGTATCCAGCGTACGGTGGTGATATGCGAGCAGGAGCTGCTGTCCGGCATCGCCGCCGATGATCTGGGCCAGGGAGAAGGTGTACCCGGCGCTCTGGGATATGCGAGTTATTGTGCTGTGATTCTTGCCGGCGCTGGCAACGTGACCATTCCACATGCCCAAGCAGATTGAGAGCTAGTGCGCCCCGTACAACACTTTGATAGCTAGGGCGCTGGTCGATGTGTTGCTGGTCGATGTGTTGCTGGTCGATGAGCTGGTGTCGACCTATAAGGATTCTGACAGTCAGCTGGTTACACCGCAACGCAGTTCAGGATTCCGGCACTCTCGTGTGTCAAGTTCCAGGCGGGGGTGTTGTCGTTGGCACATTCTTTTTGCGGAACGAGGCTCATAAGCAAATCCGTCTCATTGACCCTGACAAGCCCGCTTGACGTCCAAAGCCACTTCAGCTTCTGCACCTGTGCGGTTCAACCAGCACCTCCCGCTCGCATCCCGAGGGCGTCCCGAAGTGAGGTGGTGAAACCTACCGTCAATATCGCCAATCCTTCAAGCGAAACGCGCGATATACCCGCGCACAAAGCGACAACGAACAAGATCAAAGCGACGAGGGTCACGATCTCGCAGCCGAAGAGGAATCCGAGGTGAGAGGTCCAGAACCGCGCCACCTTGTAGCGCTCATGGGATGCGTACCTAGCAGCGATGATGGATCATTCTCCCGGCTCGTCTACCCGTCTAATTAACTCATCTATCTATCCGGTTATCTACCCAGCCGACACACAAGGCTGGGCTCAAAGGAGGCGGGGTTTCCCGAGCTCTTTTCCCACAAATATCTCACGACACTCCTCGCCCATCCACACCCCATTTATCCCGACATTTCTAGCTGCTGCTGCTGCTGCTGCTTCTCCCGCTTTCTCCTCCTCCAAGACCCCTCCTTAGACAACCATTCTGAATTTCAACTTATCTTCGCGTACAATGTCGTCCTTCATGGCTTCCAGCTCGTCCACGTCCCAGGTTACACTGAGGTACCGCCCACTCAACCACTCCCTTCTCTCGCGGGTCAACCAGGTCAACCAGCCGCCGCACAGACCAATGTCCTCGGTCAGGCGCGTGTCCCAGGCATCGCCTTTCTTCGTCGAATGGTTCGCCGTCTGTGGCGTCAGGACCGCGCCAGGGTGCACGGCGAAGGCCAGCAGTCCTTCGTCCTTGTGGTCCTCAGCCATGTGCTCGACCATGCGATTGTTGCCGAGTTTTGCCACGTTATACGCCGTCGGCGTGAAACTGCTCTCGGTCAACTGGCTCGCAAGACTCGTGATGACGATGTAACTCCTCACTTTGCTGGGGTTCTCCGGTTCGATGAGCAGCGGCGTGAAGTACTTGGCGACATAGTAGCTGCCCAGCAGATTGATGTCGATAACGCGCTTGAAGTCGTCGTCTTCGACGATGCCCTTGGGGAGGCGCCGGTTCGTCTTCTCCCCCGTGTTCGGGTCCGTGTCGTATAGATACTTCGAGATGATACCGGCGTTTGCAATGACCACGTCCAATCGCCCGTTCCACTTCTCTCGGACCTTTTCTGCGAGCGTCTTGACAGCCTCCGGCTTCGTCGTGTCACAGACCTCCGACAGGATCTCTAACTTCGGGTTCACCTCCTTCAGCTGCTTCTCCAGGGCCTCAAGATCACTCTGCGTTCGACTCGAGATGCAGATGCCAGTCGCTCCGGCACGCGCGTAAGCAAGGGAGATCTTTCCAGGACGTTAGAACCTTGGACCGGCCAAGCTAGAACTTTCGAAAGGGCGGCGGCATGGAAGGACAAATACTGAGACAGGAGACAGATGGCCTTCCCCGAACCACCATGTACAGTACGGCTCATACACCAGGAGAGGTTTCGAGGTTGAGGACGACTTACGTAGACACCCAGACCCTTGCCCGCGCCCGTGACGACCACGACGTAGGGCGTCGAGCGATTGTTTTCTGGAAGCGTCGGCCCCTCGGCTTCGTGATGGAGTGTCGGCGTGAATCGTTGGCCATAGTGATCAGGAAACGGGAACGCCATCGTAATCTCTCTCTATATTTTACCCTTTTCCTTTAAATCGTCTCCAGAACCGGTGCAGGTGATCAGAGTAATAGTTCAGCTGAGGACCCCCACCGGTAGACGACGGCTCGGGATTAGATTTCGTTTGTCAGGGACCAATCTCGAGGAGAGCTGCCGGCTCCTGCGAACTGCAGCTCGACTTGCACCTGTGGTTTCTTCGATTATTGAACGACTGTCTTATTCCTCGGAACCGAGTACACGAGTATGACGAGCGGAGCCTTGTTCTGTGCGTATGTGTGTGTTGGCCTGCCGGCTCCTTCGTTGGACGAAGCTGGCCGACTTTCTTGGATCTCTGAAAAGCGAGACGACAGTCTATCTGGCAACGACGGCGCTCAAGTCTTGCCTCAGGATCTATTGCTCCGTTGGCAAAGGTCAAGCGCGATCTAGGACGGCAATCGATATGGAAGCCTCTATTGCACCATCTTCCCCGCACACGGGAAGCGAGAGATAGCCATCCTCGGCTGTTGCTCTCAAAGGTCGGCATAGAACCAGCCCCACAAGGGCTGTTTGAATCCAGCATTACAAGGAAACTGTTTGGCGGTGACGCCCTGGTGCGTCCTTGCGTCATCCCCTATACAAACTCAGCCTTACTTACCTAATACCAATACTCGCCAGGGCCTAGGTGAATACCGTGATACACCAAGACGGGTTCCTTTTCATTCATCGAATTGTTTTCAACGAACTCGCAGTGGATCGCTATACCCTCTTGAATAGCCCATGGCGCATATTTTCACAGGAGGGCCATCTCCCGTACGAGGCCTGACTTCACCCAGCCCCTGGCAAAGTTCCGACCTGTCCACAGGAGCACGGCGATCCACCAGACCCTTCCTACAACGGGGTCGTACCACTTTTGAACGGGCGATCCTTTCCTTTTCCTTGCTTTGCCCACAACCATGATAACTATCCCCTCTAGCACGACTGCGACACTATTCCAGGCGAAGAACTTAGCTTCTCCAGTCGCCATTCTCCAGTCGCCAGCAAGAACACCGCGAACAGAGAAGGTGTGGACCAATGCAGAAACCAAGAAGGCGCCAATGACCTTTCCAACGTCGGCCGGTTGATCGGGGCCTTTGCCAAGGAGTTTGCGTTCCAACCATTCCCCCGGCCATACACCATAGACCAGAAATAACCTTGCAAACAGCCTGTGCCAACCAAAACTCCAGAATTTCCGTACGCTTGTGATCTGCCATGGCCTTGTCGTGTATAGTGGAGGAAAGAAGGCAAGCGGATTTGGTGCAAGTGGATTGAGCATGATCGCGAAGAGAGAATGTCCGAAAGAGAACGCAGCCATAAGGAATGCGCCTAGTGCCACCGTCAACAGTAGTTGCAGGGCCATAGGTAAACGGTGGTCGAACAGGTCATAGGCAGAATACATGTCCCAAGGTGCGTCCCGTGTTAGCATAAGATAGCGTACATAGACGGTTCTGATAACAGCCCAGCTGACGAGGAGAACTGGAGTGACATGGACGACTATGCTGTGAACGCGGTTGTGGACGGTGGGAAGCCAGGTTTTGCGAGTGTGCCGCACATCTGCAGTAGTCCAGGTGAAGCCAATGCCACGCATGGAGAGTTCAAGCTCAAGAGCCCATGCCGCACGATCCAGAAGCGTTGTTGGCCAACCACTTTCTGTTATCGCTGTCTCCAAGACTGGCACCGGATCTGGACCTGAGAAGGATCTTCGGAGAGCCGATCGCACAGCGGAACCAGACCGGATAGCAAGAGCTGGTGCTGACTTTTTGAATCTTGAAACATCGTCGTTGCCTGAATCTCTGGAGATTTCTTCCTGTGAATCGCCGGTATGGTGGAAAGGATCAATGACTCCGCCATTTGACCATTCCTTGTCTTTTGCTTCCGCCATTGGTTCCGAAGAGTCCTCCCTCGGAATGTGATGATACTTGACCCGCCGTGGGATGTGTCCAAACAAGTACGGGCTTATGAAGAATGCATCAAGAACCCTGCATCCACCGTAGAGGCCTACAAGACCCAATTGGTACGTCAAGCCAATGCTCTGCGGGACATGATATACGAGTGGTAGGCGAAAGAACAGCACTCCGGCGACCAGGGCGAGGCAATTCCGGAGAATCTTCACAGGAAGACTATCGACTGCCGGCGGCGGAGGGGGAGCGAGGAGGAGGAGCGCAAGGTAGTAGATGATAGGCGGGAGAATGGCGCCTAGCAAGGTGAGCGGTTTCGTATTGGGGATTGGATGGAGACCAGGTCGAGGGTTCGAGTCTGAGAGCGACTCCTGCAGCGAGGCAAGCCATTGCAGTGGCTGGAAAGCCATCATTCACTGTAACGGAGGTTGCTGTAGGTTGCTCTAGGTTGTAAAGCAGCACATTAGTTCAACTTTGGTCGAAGCTGGAGTCACCTTTGAGCCTGTGATTCGAGAAAAGCGTGTCTCGGTTCATCACGGCTGGCCCCTTCTGAGGCTTCACTCGCATTCAGGTTTCAAAATACTTTTGAGGTGATCGATATGAAGCAACAGTGACATCAGCACTATTGGTTCGTGCCAAGTTCGTGAGAAATCGCGAACGTCGCAAACAGTGGGCGCAGGGGCGATCGCTCCGACGCGCCGCTCTAATTCGAATCCGTTTCTCACTCCCAGTTGCCCCGGTTCCCCTGAATCTCTTAGGGCGGCGACATCAACGCTGGCTCAGCTGGTTGCATACGAGGTACCGAGCTCGCGAGCATCGAGTCCAAAGTCGAATTCGGACACAGAAGCATAAATTCCCTCTGAGCTGTGGTCCTTTGTTTGATTTTCCCGTTTTATATGAAGGCCGCCCAGATCATCTTTGAAGTAGGTTGCTACACGTCTTCTCGGTTTACTCGGTGACAATGGACGGGCCCAAAAAGGTTAAGGAAAGACCTACTTTAAGTTGCTTAGTTGCTGTCGCCATCTCTAACAATATCCATTCCTTGAGAAAAGCTTGCTGTCTGCCTATATCCGAAGAAAGGCCAATCAATCACCACTGGTTCCGCTATCGGAAAACAATCTTAATAGTACCGAGTTAGGCCAGTGTTGGAATACCTTGGCGGCTGAGCATGGTCTGCCACCAGCCGACTTTCAACCACTTCGCCGGTCTGGCAGTCACCCGATGGTCGCAGGCTGAGAATGAACGAGCCTTCCGGGATATCTCTCGACTTTCACGATCTCTTCCAGGCTCTCATCCGTTCGCGGCGCCCGGCATCGGTGGTTTTCGGCAATAATTGCAGCCTCGATACAGAGACTCCACAGGCCAGAAAAAGAGTACCTCCAAGATAGTCTTGCCAGTGCTTTGAGACTGACATCTCCTTTAGTAGGTTCCTTCTCGAGATATAATTGGTTCTCCTCGCTGGTTAGTGGGGCAGCTCACCCTTCAAAGAGACTAGCAAGGAGCCTTCTGGATTTGGTCCAGAACTTTACCCTCCGTTGCATTTAATTGAATCGGATGAGAAATCCTTTGAATGTTAGTCTAATGGGGTGGGAATAGAAGAAACAGAAGACAAAGAGACAGAGGATGACGAAAGTGATGATTGCAGCGATCCAGGAACTCAAAGTGGGACAGCTCAAAGTTAAGGACGGGCAGTTAGCGAGGCATCTCGAGACGAACTAAGTTGTCCTGGCAGGCCTCGGAGATGGCAGAAGGAAAGCTAAGTGCAGGAGGTTGGCCGATCTGTTAGAGCTCCGGGCGATCTTCGCCGTAGCATTCCCTTTCATGCACCCCGATTCATCCGATCTTTATTTGACGGAGGAAGAAGACATCGAGATGCCATGGCTTAACGGCAATGGGCACTACAGCAATGCTGCAAGACTGCGAAATAGTACAGCACCGAGAGGGATGAAGTCGAAGCTCAAAACAAGCAATCCTTCTCGCTCATTGTGGAATAGTTGTCGGTTTCGATTCAGGGCAGGGCCCATGGAAGCTAGTGGAGCTTACTGGTCGAATCCAACCCCCGTCTATAGCAATTTGTGAATCGGCGATGTTGCCGAGGACGATAGACCACCTCTGCCTCAACAGGAGGGCATCTTGAAGGTGAAAATTCCACACCAAAGGCACGGACAGACGGACGGCTATTGCGTACATGGTCCTTCGGGCCTCGCAAACAAGCTCATCCCAGAGAAAGCGAAGCAATCTATCTCATTAAATACTAGTACCCTGATCACAATCCTCCCCAGGTCCTCAAAGAGGGTCGATCTGCCATGTTTTAAAATCAATACTAGTACTGATTAGTACTGCTATGGAGAGTCCGAGTAACAACAGCGCGCATGCACGCATCATTCCTGCAGAGATCAAGCGAAGTCGATATTGATGTCGTCCAGAGCGATTGAGTCCGCATTGTCATCCATAAAGACATCGATCAGGACGGGAGAAAGCCCGTCACCGCCGGTCCATGTGAACGTGTACGTGAGTTGCTGCCAGTCTGATGGTCCCGTGTTAGAGAGGGTGAAATCCGTGCTGAAGCCAATGTTGGTGACAATCTGGACGCGCACGCTCGAAAAGCCGGCACACGAGCCCGCGCCGTTGCAGTCGCCAATGGCCCAGAGCGAGATTGTGTAATCCGCTCCGTTGCAGAATTCGGGGGACTGCGCGATTCGGGCTTCCACTGGCGAAGTACCCGTGTTTGTCAATTGCCTGGAAACAAGGAAGGAGAGAAAAAATTGTTGTCAGCCGCATGCGTAACCAAGCTGGAAACAAACGAATAGCGTTGGAGCGAAAAAGGAGAAAAAGAAATGAGAGTAATTACGTACAAATAGTTATTGCCGGAATGCGGGACAAATATACCAGTGCCTGCTGTCGCAACCGTGCGGGTAATCCCGGGGTTAAAGGCAGAGTACACCCAAGGGTCTATGTCTGTAGTGCTGTCCTCGAATCCACCGTTTGCTAGAGTCGGAGTCGGGCAGCTGTTGGAGCTAGTAGTAGTGGTAGTCGTTGTAGTGGTGGTAGTGGTGGTAGTGGTAGTGGTAGAAGTAGTAGTAGTGGTGGTGGTGGTGGTGGTAGTGGTAGTGGTTGTTGTAGGAGGCGTTGTGGTGGTGGTGGTCGTTGTAGAAGTAGCCGTGAAACTGGTAGTGGTAGTAGTAGTTGTAGTTGACAGAGTTGTTGACGTTGTGGTTGGCGTGGAGCTTGTGGTTATGGATGTCGTGGGAGAGTTCGTGCTAGATGTCGTTGGGCTATGGATCTTGGTCAGCGGAAACGATTCAATTCCCAAGTTTTGGCGGTGAGAAACTCGTCCCGGTCGGTTCGATAAAAGGTGTTTATGCCTTGCGAATCCAACACTTCACGTGTAGAGCCGGGGAGGGTAGCATACCGTGACTTTGTTGTCTTGAAGGTTGTAGTTGTGGTAACTGGGATGCTGGGCCAAGTTGGAAAGCTTGGTTGAGGCCATCCTGGTGGTCCTCCACCTGGAGGGCCAGGCTGCGGAAATCCAGGAGATCCCGGCCAGCCTGGAGAGTTGCCTCCAGGAGGACCAGGATCAGGAAATCCTGGTCCGCCTGGCCCTCCCGGCCCGCCTTGTCCAGGGAACCCGGGAAGCCAATCAGGAAGGGCAAGACCTTGAATACCGAGGGCAAAGAGCGAAAGCAAAAGAAGTTTGTTGGTAACCATGGTTGTCTCTTTTCGTGGACGATTCCAACAGCAACAGGGATCAAAACGAACGGCAGGGGTGGGGAATCGGGGGTTCGAAGGAGTGACGCCACTAAAGAGGCCCAAAAACAGGTTAAAAAGGAGCGTTTGAAGGGAACAGACAAAGAAGGCAGCGAAGGAGATGGAATGGGCTTATGTCCATTATATTGTCTTTTCAGCCCGCAACGTGCTCAGGGTCGAAGGACAATTATCAACCATCAGCGCATGCGCCGCCCAAGGGATTCGTTGCGCCTCTTTGCAGGCGGGTAAATGACTTTGTCTTAGCCGTTGAGCATGACCATCAACACCTTAGGTATGGTAATTTCGGTTCGCTTGTTGTTGGCGATTGGGAGCGAGCATCACGAGAGGTGAACCCCCAAGTTGGGTAACGGTCGTCATTGAACCAGTCTCGAAAGAGTCTGGAGGATGTCGTGGCGGAGGTGGCACAAGCTTTTTCGGGAAGCCAATCTCGCATCGCCCCCTTTTGCCCGACTCACCGAACCCTGATCCCTAAGCTTGAATATAAAGCTATAGCCAAGCTTTGCGGGGTTGAGTTCCTGTATCTGGGCAACTAAACTGTTCAAATACTAGCGCCGCTTGCAATTCAAGGCCCTGACGTCAGCTCCTTGTCGTACATGTGGTACCTGATATCGCGGGTTGCCGCCATAGCCTTCTCGTTTCCTCTATGCGAAGCCTCCCCATAGATTCGATACTTTGTTTGCAACATTCGATTGCAGCACCTATCGCCCTTGGTCGCCACAGCTCCCTATGTCCAGCGTTTCTTAATGGACGTGGTGGGATGTGTCTCGGACAGACGTAATATGTTCGATGTAGCGCCATCAACCATAAAATAGGTAGGTAGGACTGACACTGTTTGCGCATAGGCAGCATATGTTTTTTTGTAATGATGAGGTATCACGTTGTCGAGGTCCTCGTCAACACGAGCTTGGGGATGACTTGGCGTCCAGGAACGCCAGATGTTCCTTTTTGTTGTTGCGTGGAATGGCGATGGGCACTCGGTACTGAGGCTGATTGCATCCTGTTACCAAAATGTTCAATGCGCGGGTCGAGCAGATGCTTCTCGAATGGATGATCTTGACCAGAATCGCTGCTTCTAGCCTTTCTCTGAACTTTCTCACATCCTCATCACGCTTTAATGACCTATAGCACTTGATCTGGTACAACATGGCCTAAAGAGCATCGAGATGACTTGATCGGCAAGTGCTTTCGTGCCTGCAAAGCACATCATTCAACATCTTCTCAGCTTGGTCGAACTTCTAGGCATCGAGAAATGCATACGCCAGATATAACTTGCTAAATAAAGGTCCCAGCTAAACAAAGGTCCCAGCTAAACAAAGGTCCCAGCTAAACAAAGGTCCCAGCTAAACAAAGGTCCCAGCTAAACAAAGGTCCCA